CCCTTTCTTGATATATGCAGTAAAAATCCAAATAATCAAACTTGAAGGAAAGCTGGAAGTGGTAGTGATGGAATTTTGTATCTTGTACCTACTTCAAACTTAAGCATGTGGGACTGGGCTAGGTGTTGTGATACATGCCTGGTATCCCAGCTACTCAGGAGACAAAGAGAATTATGGTTAAAACCAGCCTTGGTAAAAGTCAACAAGACTCTATCTCAACAAATAAACTAGGTGCAGCAGCACATGCCTGTAACAACCAGATTTAGAAAAGTGGATTTGCATTGCTTGTTCACTCTGCTATATATCCTGATCTTTCTAGAACTGTCATGCCCTGACTCTGTCTCAAGTGCCTTGCCTAAGGATGACTAGTGAGAGGTTTTCAACTCTGTGAGTACAGCGATTGAGTGATTCTTGTTGAGTATCTTGGTAGAATAATACATCTCCCTTTCTTCTAAAGTTTCCCATCTTGGAATAATGAGTCTACTTTGCAGTTTAAGCTACAAGGGAATTTCCTGGAAACCTGGGTTTGTTTCTCCTCTCTGTTCTTTTGTTCAGTCAGATGTGTGTAGGACTCCATTACAAGCCTGAAGCTGTTGGTCATGGTTGCCTATTGGGGCTGGTGTTCAATATTTATTCTCTCAGCTGTCTGAGCCCATGTTTATGGTTACCACAATCTAACTTGACATTACCAGTTTGGGAGACAATGACAGAAAAAGTGACTGGGAGATTCCTAGAGCTTCAATTTCTTCATTTTCCATGTCTAATGAATGCCATTCTACCAATCCCATTGCTTATTTATCAACCTTTCTGCATGTCTTTCTCAGAGCAGGGTACAAGGCAGTTTTTTTTCTTTTTTAAATACATTTTTTATTGCAAAAATACTGTACAGAGGGGTTACAATTACATAAGAAAGATAATGAGTACATTTCCTATCAATTATTGTTGCCTCCTCCTTTGCTTTTTCCCCTACCATGCCTTCCCTCCCACCTCCACAACTACACTCCTTCCCCCCTCCCCTGACCTAAATTGTACAGTTCATTTTTCAACATAGTGTCTTGTATATCTCATTGTTACAATGGGCCAACCTGTATCACTATTTAAGCATTTTGTTTTTTCCCTTCCCCTCCCCAAATTAGAAAAATGTATATATACGGGCTGGGAAGGTAGCTCAGTGGTAGAGTGCTTGCCTTGCATGCCTGAGGCCCTGGGTTCGATTCCTCAGCACCACATAAGCAGAAAAAGCCGGAAGTGGCGCTGTGGCTCAAGTGGTAGAGCACTAGCCTTGAGCTGAAGAGCTGAGGGACAGCACCCAGGCCCAGAGTTCAGGCCCCAGGACCGGACCCAAAAAAAGAAAAAGAAAAATAAAAATGTATATATAAGATGCAGGGCACCAACATCAAATACAGTGAAAATAAGGTTACACCATGGGGGAGGAACATACTAAGAAACAAAAAGAACACATGGGGCATTATAAATATGTTAAAAACAATAGCAAGCAAGAAAAAAACCACTTGTGTCCCTATCTTCGGTTCATTTCACTTAACATCATTTTATATGGTCATATGTACATAGCTTTTGACCTTTTCTACCTGCCCTCGACTTATACTAATTATTGCAAATAAGGGAAACCATGGGACCTAAATTTCTTTGGGCTGGCTTACGGTACTTGGTATGAATTTTTACAAGTCTTTCCATTTCCTAAAAAATGGGGCAATGTCATTCTTTCTGATCGAGGCATAGAATTCCATATATATATATATATATATATATATATATATATATATATATATATATATATATATATATATATATATATATATATATATATATATATATCACATTTTCTTGATTTATTCATCTACTGAGGGGCATCTGGGTTGGTTCCATATCTTAGCTATGGTAAATAATGCTGCAATAAACATAGTTGTGTTGGTAGCTTTAGTATAGCTTTGTTTGTGATTGTTTGGATCCCCCAACAACAAATCCTCAAAGAAACAACTGCCCAATAAATAAGTGGGCTAAAGACTTAAAGAGAAACTTCTCTGGGGAGGAAATAAGAATGGCCAATAGACATATGAAGAAATGCTCAAAATCTCTAGCCATAAAAGAAATGCAAATCAAAACAACATTGAGATTCTACCTCACCCCAATTAGAATGGCTATAATCAAGAAATCTAATAACAACAGATGCTTGAGGGGATGTAGACAGAAGGGAACTCTACTGCATTGGTGGGAGTGTAAACTTGTTCAACCACTTTGGAAAGCAGTATGGAGGTTCCTCAAAAGACTCCACATAGAACTCCCCTGTGACCCAGCAATCCCACTTTTGTGCATTTTCCCAAATGATCACAAACAAGACCACACTAAAGCTACCAGCACAACTATGTTTATTGCAGCATTATTTACCATAGCTAAGACATGGCAGTTTTCTTAACCAGCATTCTCAAAACAGAAGTTCCTTTCCACAGAATCTGCTGAAATACACAGAACTCACAACTGATTTTTCTTCCTCCAGCTGTGAAACTGATTGAGGTACTTAAAGACCTCAAGAAATCACTATTCATCAGCTCTGTGATTACTTTCACAAGGTAGGGGGAAAAAATCAATAGGAGAGAATGGTCCACTACCTACAGAAAATGTGCTTTTATTTGTGATTTTCTTGTGAAATTGTAGAAGCAAGGAAAGGGAGTGGGAAAATATATAAGAAAAAAGCTTCTATGAGACAGTGAACATAATTTCTTAGTGTATGAAATTCACAGTCCCCTTGCCTCCCCAGCAGAGCACAAGCTTCAGGAGGTAGATGGAAAATGGTGGGAAAGACTTGAAGAGTGAAATAGAATTGGATGTGGAAAGAGAAAAGAGGAAAGAGGCACCGAAGAGCACTGTTGAGTTTCAAAGAGTTCCACAAAGTGGGAGTTATCTCTGAGGAGGAGATTGACAGTGGCTAAGATGAGGAGAGAAAACAGGTTTTGAAGGGATTTTTAATAGCTCTTTAGGCATGTATGCCTCACTTCCTTAGTTACATAAGAAAATAAGTATACATCTGAATTACTTTTTGTTTCAGAGTCCCAATTAGAAAAAATTTTAAAAACCACCATGTTTCAACAGAGGGGATTTCATACCAGGAAGTTAGTGCATGGATGATGGAAAAGTGGAGAATCCCAATAGGGAGTGCAGAAGCAATATAAAGATTTCCAAGTGCAGGAAGTGGTTGCCACCCTCAGAGTTATTGGGGAACTGGGAGGAGGTGGTGTAACTCCAGTGAAACAGCCAGGACCATCTGGCAAAAGCTTGAACTCCATGGTGTTAGCTAACAGAAGCTCGTGACATTGAGGGAAGCCCAATCAGTTGGGGGTTGCAGCCTCAGTGGAGATGCACACAGCTTATGAACACCATTTAAAACAAAAAGCCGAGGGAAGGAACGCTGGTTTTTCCCCGCTTTGTATTTTCCTGCTTAGCTAAATATATCAGATGTTAGAAGGCAAGGAGGCTGGCAACTATAATTCTTTCTGAAATACAGCAGGACAAAGAAATGAGCATAGATTAGAGAGCAAACAAACATGTAACTTACTCATGTTTTTACCATCCAACTGTTTTTCTCTGAAGTCGTCTCTTCAGGAAATTGAACCAGGAGAGTGACTTTCCTTTATATGTGCTCCAAGAGCCATGGAGGTGAGAGCTCAGAATCTTTCCTTGAATATTATGAAGTGAACCCCTATTTTTACTATTTCTTATAATTTCTGAAGCTGACCCATGTGGTTTGTTCATAAGAGTCAAAGGAATGCATACATCTTCTCTCTTATTTTTCTTTTGTTAATCAATTTTGATCTCATAGTGAAGTTGCCCTCTTACCCTTCTGTTTATATTTCTGAAAGACTGGGAAGTAGTCTGGGGAAAGGGTTACTACATGTGGCTTTGGCACCAACCATATCCGACATACCTATGGTCTGACTTGTTTGCACACACTATAAAGAAATGTTGTCTGCCTGGGAATTTGACAGTCACTTGAGTATTTGATACTTCGTTATATTTTCATTTTCTGTAGCAGTAGGTAGTTGATACAGGATGGATATTACAGCCAGGATTTTCTTCTGATATCATAGTTAAGGTGGCTCAGTGGTAGAGTGCTCACCTTGCAAGCATGAGGCCCTGGGTTTGATTCCTCAGCACCAGATAAACAGAAAAAAGCCTGAGGTGGTGCTATGGTTCAAGTGGTAGAGCTCTAGCCTTGAGTTGAAGAGCTAAGGGACAGTACCCAGGCCCAGAGTTCAAGCCCCACAACTGACAAAAAATACAGACTGAGGAGCTACAGAATTTGGGTTTCAAATCTCAACTGTTATTTTCTGTTTCTGTGACTGTGGCCAAGCAACTTACCATCTTTGAGTTTCAGTTTCCTCATCTTCAAATGTAATTATAATAATAGAAACCACTTTATAGTAATTGAGTTGTGAGAATGAAATGAATTGGTGTGTATGTGTACGCTAGTATGCTGTGTGCATGCATATAAATGTGTATATTTCAGCTCAAATGCACATTCATAGACACACACACACACACACACACATATATATATACACACACACACCAAATAAATTAGTGTGTAATAGGCTTTCTATAGCATCTATTATTGTTGTTGTTACTTTTCTCAATGAAAATATAAATGCTGCCATAAAAGCCTGGTAAAAATGTCCCACTTGCTTAATGTGTTTTATCCCACACCAAGACATGGCCAGTTGAGTGACTTGACAGTGGCAAGCAGATAATTGGTTAGGTTTAAAAAAATAAGCCCCCTGACTGAAAAACATCCCTTGAACTCCATCATTTTTCAGTTGTATACATTGCATTCATTTTCCAACCTGTTTTTCTGTAGTGTGATGGTTTAAATATTTAAATTTGTTGTGGAAACAGGCTTTTGCAATGGACCAATGATTAGCTAATATCTGATACTAGAAAAGGAAACCTATTGTCCCAAGGCCACTGTTTTCATTTCCTCATAAGAAGAAGCAGCACAGTATAGAATAAAGTCAGACAGAGCACACTGAACCTCTGTCACAATGGGGAACTGGGCTGTGAATGAGGGGCTCTCCATCTTTGTCATTGTAAGTACCAGCATTATTAATGAATGAATTAATTATGAATTCTTTTACATGTTTAGTTTCTCCTTGAAGCTAAAATAGGGCAAAAATGAGATTTTTGTTATTGTGTGAGAAATTGACTTGCTATATGAACAAACATCTATTTGTATACAGAATGAATTTATTCTTCTAAGTTTCTTAATGGAAAAAATATAATTGGGTACTCAATTCTCTTAGTTTAGTTCTGAGTTTCTAGGAGTAATAAGTTCGCATTTCATAGACAGACTATAAGGCATTCCATGTTAATTATCCCAAAGTTTGAGTTCATTAATTACTCAGAGGGAAACTTCTATATTTTTCCATGTGTTTAAACTACTTAAAATGGTCAACTAATTTTTTTTTATCATTTTTAAATAACAAAGAGAAGATAGAAGGAAATTGACCTTTATTTTAGTAACAACACTAAAAATAACCAAGTTAAAAACAAGTTTCATCTATTCTCTGAGGTCTATACCAGTTATTTTTGAAGTTTACCAAAATCCAAGATAACATAATTAAAATTAACTATCTAGACTCACATATATATAATATGCAATCATATTTAGTAATATAATCTATTTTGAGAAAAATGTAAGTAAAGATTGGCTATGGGCTGGGAAGGTGGCTCAGTGGTAGAGTGCTTGCCTTGCATGCCTGAGACCCTAGGTTCGATTCCTCAGCACCACATAAGCAAAAGAAAAAAGCCGGACGTGGCGCTGTGGCTCAAGTGGTAGAGTGCTAGCCTTGAGTTGAGGAGCAAAGGGACAGTGCCCAGGCCCAGAGTTCAGGCCCCACGACTGGACCCCCCCACCCCTCCGCCAAAAAAAAAGATTGGCTATATTTCAACTAGATATTGGTTTCTGTGCTTTTGAACAGAAAGGATATAACTATGCTACTAAGATGATACTCTCAACAAAGCCATTATGGACCAATTGATTAGAAAGAAATGTGATTTCTAAATTGCCTTTCCAAACATCCAATAATAGAAGCATGCTAGTAAAAACAACACTTACAAATTAGAACTTTTGTAAGGATTGTATCATGGAGTATATGGGATTGTTCAATTGTAGAGATAGAAAGAAATTACATAAATAAAATAAACCAGCAAATATTTTGTTATTAAAGATATTTCATACCAAACCAGCATTCTAGTGCAGTATAAATGTCTGAGGATTTGAAACTGTCAACTTGATTTCTTAGTACCATTTAAGAGACTATTAATCCTATGAAAAACAGTTGTATTATACTTTTAGCTCTTATCACAATTTTCCCTAAGAAATGATCTTCTTTTAAAATATCCACTCAGCTACTTGAAAATGAGAACACAGGGCTGGGAAGGTGGCTCATTGGTAGAGTGCTTGCCTTGCATGCATGAGGCCCTGGGTTCGATTCCTCAGCACCATATAAGCAGAAAAAAAAAGCCGGAAGTGGCGCTGTGGCTCAAGTGGTAGAGTGCTAGCCCTGAGCTGAAGAGCTGAGGGACAGCGCCCAGGCCCAGAGTTCAGGCCCCACGACTGGACCCAAAAAAAAAAAAAAAAAAAAAAGAAAGAAAGAAAATGAGGACACAGCTTCGCAAGCCTCTTGTGAAGCATGACAAGATCAAGAAATGGAGAAGTTGTTTGAGCAACTTCTTTGTAAAGATTAACTTTTTGCAAGTATCTATGGGTGTTTCATAGTTAATACCAATGACTAGTCATTTAATATTTAAGAGAAAATCACTATGGAGCCAGAGGTAGAAGACTGAGAGCATCATCACTCAAAGAAATATTATGCTTGGGATACAATGAAAAAACAAACACAATCTAGAAAGTTTGCTTTGTCTTTAAATCCCATTCCACTCACCTGCTCCGTTATGATCAACATCACCTCCCTCAAGAGTTAAGAAAATTTTATCAAGTAGGATGGAAAGCTTGTCATGTTAGCTCATGTGACTCCCTCTAGTTGGAGAGAGATGATGTGTGGTACAGGGAGGTGACTGATTCTTCAAAGCAGAACTCGATGTCTTGTTGGTAGGGAGATAGGAATACTGATATATTTCCTTCTCTTCTCATTTTGCTGGCCAATCAGTGTGATCTACCTCTCTAATGTCAAGAAGTAAGGAAGAAAAAGAAATGAAATGAAACAAGAGTGTTAATTTTTATTTGGCTAAGGAGTAAAGTAATCATGACAGGGTGGTAAGTTTAATTATAGAAACGAATAGTGACTTTGTTATAGGAAAGAAATGGCTTTAAGCTGGTTGCACCCAGCTTTGTAGCCGTCTTGTCAAAAGATGAACTTGGGGAAGTCCTGACCTTCATCTGACTCTTATCTTGCATGGAATCTACCTATTGAGATACAAAAACATGATGCAATTCTTTTCTGTTTATGCAGCTGATGTGGCTGGGGATGAATGTCTTCCTCTTTGTCTGGTACTACCGAATTTATGATGGTCAAGATAAATACTTTTACACTAGAAAACTCCTTGGGGTAAGTACAATTTGTTCCCAGGCAATATTGACTGGTTCACATTTTTAGCCTGACCTTATTATTTCTTTTAATATTTTAAGTAAGTTTACATTATCAACCAAAACAGCACTATCAGCCTCACTCCCTCCATTACAATTACTTTTTTCCATTCCTGGTTTTTGAACTCAGGGCCTAGGCACTGTCTCTGAGCTTCTTTTGCTCAAGGCTAGCACTCTACCACTTAAGCCACAGTGACACTTCTGGCTTTTTCTGTTGATGTGGCACTGAGGAATCGAACCTAGGGCTTCATGCATGCTAGGCAAACACTCTACCCCTCTTAGCCCAATGAGCTCCCTTCCCATAGCTTAGACTTTCCTTCCCTTCTCCACAGCTTAGCATGCTCCTTTCCTAGACAACACTAGGCCTATTTAGTAAAGGCAGTAAATAATCAGCCTCCAACCACCATTACCTTGGGATGGCACTTCTCTGGGGCAGCTACCACCATATAAGGCAACAAGAGCCCCTTAGAGTGACCTTCAGGTCTGGGCAGCTGCAGGACCCCTTATCTAGTCTGCCATGATGAAGCCCCTGGACCTCATGTCAACACCAGGGTCTCCGCCTCCTAGCCCCTTCTAGCCCTTCCTAAACCTCCTAGCTTATATAGGTCACTTCAGACAATAGCCAGTGCTTCTTCTCACTTCTCCCTTGTGAGAAGGGGTCTTGCCAGCCACTTTCCTGGCAATAAACCTTTCTTTGTTCTCTGCACCTGGATGTCTGGGTGGTTTTCTGGCAAAGTCTAAAATTCTCTATCAACCACTAAGCCACATTCCCAGCCCTCCATTGTAAATTCTTTAAGAATCATTTAAGGCCTACCAGTGTAAGAAACAAAAGCAAGGCAGAGACCAAGAAGCATCCCTTCCCTCCCCCAAGCCATGTGTCATTGTTTAGCTTAAAGAAGAAATCTCTGGAATAAATGTGCTTTTATATTTTTTTCCTTGTATTTTGTGCTGGTCCTCAGACTTAAACTCATGGCTGGGTGCTGTCTTTGAGATTTATTTTTTTTATCAAGGTTCTCTACCACTTGTGACACAGCTCCACTTCCAGCTTTTTTTGGTGGTTAAATGGAGTTAAGAGTCTCACAGGTTTTCCTGCTCAGGCTGGCTTTGAACTTTAATCCACAGATCCCAACCTCGTTGAGTAGCTAAATTTACAAGTGTTAGCCACTAGAGCCCAGCTAATTTTGCATATTTTCTTTTTTTGAGGGGGGGAGGGTTCCGATCATGGACCTGAGCTCTGGGCCTGGGCGCTGTCCCTCAGCTCTTCAGCTCAAGGCTAGCACTCTACCACTTGAGCCACAGTGCCACTTCTGGCTTTTTTCTGCTTATGTGATGCTGAGGAATGGAACCCAGGGCTTCATGCATGCAAAGCAAGTGCTCTACCACTGAGCCACCTTCCCAGCCCATGCATATTTTCTAAGTCACCTAATTCCTACTACTTTTGTCCATGGAGAACCCTCCTCTTAGTGAAATGATCTTCAGAAAAATCAACCTCTCTACATCTGAAAACTTTAAGGAACTTGTAATGGAGACCCTTGAGTTTCTTTCTTTCTTTCTTCTAATAGTAATCTTAGTTTCCATGAACTATCAGGCCTCTTCATCATATATATATATATATATATATATATATATATATAATTATAGGCCAGGTGCAGTGGCTCAGGACTGTAATGTCAGCTACCCTAGGGTTAGGGTGGAGATCAGTACAAAAGCAGTTCAAAGCAAGTGAGGCAAAAAATTAGTGAAACCCCATCTGAACAAAAAGCTGAGCATGGTGACATATCAACAACTAAAGCAAAAAGTTATGGGGATGTGCCTCAAGTGGTAGTACACCTGCCTAGCAAGTGTAAGTGCCTGAGTTTAAATCATAACACTGCCAAAAATAATTAAAATCTCTACTGCACTAGAACTCTATTACACCCTGCCGAAACTATGAATTAATATATTAATTTTAATATACTTTATAAATCATGTGTAAATACAAAAATAATTGTATTGTTATTATTATTGATATCTGCAACTTATCCATAATATCCAACTTCTTTAAACATTACATAGCTTGTAGTTAAAATGATAAAACATTACAGTCTACCAAAGAGTTACTATGAAGATCAGTCTAAGCATTAAGAAAACTTTGTTTCAAATCTTAAAATGGTCCAATATGGGTACGGAACTCAAGTTCATGACATGCATGCTTCAGTATTTAGGAGGAAGTAAACTGATAGCCACAATTGACTGTACAAACAACCAAAAATAGTAGTTGATGCACGCATAGAGGGATGACAACATAGACATGCAAAATGTATCGTAAAATTCTTTCTGTTTCTCTTTATATATAGAAGTGTTCATTAGCAAATATTGGATTGGATTAAGGGTCCAGTTTTAAATGAAAATAAAAGAGGCCCTGAAAGAAAAACTTTTGCTTTGCACAACCTTGGTTTCCAGATCTCTTAGAGGGTCTGGTGTGTGGGCTCGGGCTGGGAACAAGAAGTGAGAGTGGGGCTTTCTGTGCTCATCTGGTGTCACTGTACTATCCCTTATCCTGCTTCCTCTAGTCAGCACTGGCCCTGGCCAGGGCCCCTGCAGCCTGCCTGAATTTCAACTGTATGCTGATCCTGCTGCCAGTCTGTCGAAATCTGCTATCCTTCCTCCGGGGTTCCAGTGCGGTAAGAGCAAGAATTTGACAGTTCCTCTCATTCTCAAAGCCAATATCCAAATGTTGTTTCTTAGGAAAAGCAAGCCCTTGGCTACTACAGAATATTCATGAGCCACGCCATGCTCATGAATAGGCTTTTCTTTTTCCTATATTAGTGGATGAAGCTCCCAGAGGCAACCATCTACTCTGGACAAAGAAAATTTGTTTGTGACAAGGCACCAATCAATGCTGGGAATGGTGGTGAGGGCCTAAAAATTACAACTGGGGAGGCAAAGGCCAGAGGACTGAAGGTTTTCTGCCCAATTTGCGCTCACAGTGTCCCCACTAACAAGTTTCTGAAGTTACAACATCCTTGTCATTTCTAGCTGAGATTATTTAGCCTAGGTTATTTGAATACTCATTTGTATAGAGGAATTTTAAGACCAAATCACAGTCACAGGATAGTTTGAAAATGTGTTGGTGGCATGTAGAACAGCAAACTGTCTCTTGAGGCACAGTCACCTGGGTTTTGAATCCCAACACTCCCATTTAATTTTGCTCCCACCTCACTCACTTGACATGGAGATTTTATGAGATGTGTTCTATGGCACTTCAATGAGCAACAGCAATTACAATTTTCAGTGTAATTTATAGCACATTCAATCATCTTAATTTTAATAGAAAAAAAGCAGATTCATATGCAAAGTTCACACTTCATGTTAAGAATCCTAGAAGGAACAACATCATATGTCTGTAAAACAAAATATCGCTTGCTGCCAGTTTTTATTTAATATATTCTTTTATCTGGATATAGAACTGAGCTCCCATGTTGAAAAATAGCCTCGTTTTACCTCTGTCTTGAAACTCTTCTCATGAGGCTCTTTGATGTCAGGTCACAAGTCTAAATGCTGCTATTACAACATGTGCTGCTTCAAAGCAGTGCAATTTGGGATTGTGTGCTAACCAGGATTTCTTAACTAACAATTCTAGTGAAAACATTGTCTGTTTCTTAGGCTTTACTTACTCTAAAGAGAAAACATTAGAATGGGGATAGAGAAGATTTTTTGTAAAAAGAATGTCATTTCTGTAAAAACAAAATGACAACAACAAACTCTATAGTGCATTGGCTTCATTTGTAAATATTCATCAGTCACCTATGCCACAGCAAAGATGGTATGGAATATAGCTGGACACCGGTGGCTCACGCTTGTAATCCTAGCTACAAGAGAGGCTGAGATCTTAGGATCATGGTTCAAAGCCAGCCCAAGCAGGAAAGTCTGTGAGACTCTTATCTCTAATAAACCACCAGAAAACTGGAAGTGGCACTCTGGCTCAAGTGGTAGAGTGCTAGCCTTGAGCTGAAGAGCTGAGGGACAGCGCCCAGGAACAGAGTTCAAGCCCCATGACCAAAAAAAAAAAAAAAGATGGTATGGAATAGATGGTGGGAAGAAAGAATGAAGCAGTTATCAAGATGCATGGTGCACATAAATTGTTGTGTTAAATAGAAAGCCCTTTGAACATCTTTTTGACAAAAATATATTTTATTTTTTGCCTGTCATGAGGCCTGAACTCTGGGCCTGGGCACTGTCCCTCAGCTCTTCAGCTCAAGGCTAGCACTTTACCACTTGAGCCACAGTGCCACTTCAGGCTTTTTTCCGCTTATGTGATACTGAGGAATCCAACCCAGGGCTTCAGGCATGCTTGGCAAGCACTCTACCACTGAGCCACATTCCCAACCCAACAAAAAATAATTTTAAGAAAGTATTTTACAGTAAGGGTCTCATTGATCCAACTTTTAGTCAAACTTTTAATCCAATAGAATTTCATCTCTGTGGTTTCTTACATTGAGAAAATTATAATCAATTCTCAATACCAAGTGGTGTTGTTAATTGAATTTTGTACAGCTGCCAGTTTTCAGTGGTGACCTTAACATGGCTCTGTGTCTAATCATGTACCCTTCTAACACGTTGAGTTCTTTGGGCTTTCTGTGTCAGATATTTTAGCTGAGAAACATTCTGAACAATGAAATTGTAAAGATGAATATGCCATTCTAAGTGGTTAGTGCAGTGATAAAACTTGCCAAACATATATAAGGTCCTAAGTTCCATCCCCAGCAGAGACATACAGAGAGAGAGAGATAGACGTGGAGAGAGAGAGAGAGAGAGAGAGAGAGAGAGAGAGAGAGAGAGAGAGAGAGTATTTACTTGTAGTGAAAGTATACAATTAAGTCTACTAGGCAATTGTACTAGGGACAAATGTTGAATTAGAGTATGAATGAATTTCCACAAGATTAAAGAAGCTTAGGGTCTTATGAAGAAGACAGAGAATAAACTGGGGATTTCAAAATTATAAAAGTACTATGTAAATAAGATGCTACTCTTTAATATTCTTCCCACATTCTACCATCAGTAGGTATGGACAGGGTCAACTCCTTATCTTGAGTTTGGTAGGTGGTTGCACTTTGCCATTTCTCCCAAATTGTATGTAAATATCTCCTTCAGATACATTAATACTGCATGTGACGAGACCAAATGTACATAAAATAGAGCTACAGAAATTCATACTACACACCATTAACTACGTTTCTTTTTAGTTCCATTTCTCATTTTTCAAAAGCCATAGTTTCAATAGAGCATAGAAGTTTGCCAAGGTGTCTCAATAATTGACCTTGCATTCAAACAAGAGTTTATTAAAATTGGGCAAGGCTTTCAGAAGCACTTCCCCTTTCCAAGTCAATTGTAGAAAGCATAGAGGTAGTTCAGTGGGGAAGCTATGGGATAGATGGCAGCTTGGGTAATTTTTGGTGGCTGACAATAATTCTGAAATGACTCAAAAAAAACAAAAATAATATCTTCATGGTGAGGAGGAACAGAAAGGTCTTGGACAACCAAAAGCAGCAAAGCTTTTCCTCCCACTCTACCAATGATCTGTCTTGCCCCCAATCAGGAAGTGGTAAGATCATTTTCTTGGAAGCCCAGTTTCAGCAGGACTTGTGGCTTCCCCTTGGGTTTGTTTATCATTGACCACACTGAAGTGCCCTAGTGGGACCCATTGCCACTCCACTGGATCATTAGTGGCAAGTAGCTTCAATTTTTCCTTTTAATAAAGTTTATTTTAACTAACATTTTATTTATTTATTTATCTATCTATCTACTTATTTCTTTGATGGTCATAGGGCCTGAACTCTGGACCTGGGCGCTGCCCCTCAGCTCTTCAGTTCAAGGCTAGCTCTCTACCACTTGAGCCAGCTTTTTTCTGCATATGTGGTGCTGAGGAATCAAATCCAAAGCCTCATGCATGAGGCAAGTGCTCTACCACTGAGCCAACTTCCCAGCCCTTAGTTAGCTTGTTAAAAATCTCTATTAATATAAAGTCGTGTTGCTGTTTTTCTTAGTTGTATTTCTCAATCACTTCTATCCTTTGCTCTGGAATTCCATTTATCTTTCTCTAAGAGATTATGACAAAAGCTGTTAAGGGGTATTAATATTTATTGTTTCACCTCTTTGATCATCCATACTGATTATTATGATAAACATAAGATTATGGGGCCCACAACAAAACCATATTTTGCCTCTTCAAATTTACCATGTAAGATCTAGTAAATCCTCTCCCATCAAAAGAATTTGTCAAGAAGTTGAAGATAAAACAGGGGCAAATGTGTATTCATAAACTACTTTGTTAAATGGAAACTTTTGTACAACTACCAAGATAATAAAAATAAATAAATAAAAAGAGAGTAATGACATCTCTGTTGGTTTAGAGTAATCTGTGTTTTGAGACAGTGAAAGTACAATCCATTTATTCAGCCAAAGAGTTATCAAAGAATTTTTAAGAGTATATAGTATACAGATTTTCATATAGTAAGCTTGCCTTCTAGCCGGGGAGCCAAGCTACAGCTAATTCTTATTATATCCTTCTCAATGAGTCTATGCAGCAGGCTTAGGAGAAAAGACCTATAGTGATTATCCAGATGAGGAAACAAGAGACTCCAGTCCATTACTCAATGTTCCAGGCTAAGTAGTACTCCAGGGTCCCAGCAGGGCATATCTGAAGTTAAAACTTGCTTTCAAATGTAATTCAATATTCCTTTCCAACTCTGCTAATTCCCATTCTCTGATTCTTAGAATTCCAACCCAGTGTCACCACTTTAGTAGGGTTTATATTAGTTTATCTATAGTTACATAACAAATTACCACAAATTTAATGGCTTAACATAGCCCTTATTTATGAATTTACAATTGTGTGAGTCAGAAGTGCAGCACCTTGTTACTAGCTTTTCTGCTAAGCATGTCTTGCTACTTAGCAGATTCAGTTGCAGACAAAAGGTGTCTTTTTCCTTGTTTGCAGCCACACAGGGGCAGCTTGTAGACCCTAGAGCCCTTCCACTCCCTTCATGTGTTTCCCTACATCCTTAAGCAAGCAAGACTTCCTTCATCGTAGACTTATAGAGTCCAGTTCAAAGAGTTGATGTTATTGGGTCAAACCTACCCTATAATATGCCTCTTAAAGTCAATTTTGGACTTTACTTTTGCAAAATTCTTTTTGCCACATAAGTAACAAATGTTTGCTCTTTAGAGGAAGTAAAGCCTGAGAAACAGGCAGTTTTCACTAGGATTGTTAGTTAAGAAATCCTGGTTAGAACACAACCCCTAATTGCACTGCCTCCCCTAAGGACTCTTAAAAACTATGGGTTTGGCCGGGTGCCAGTGGCTCACGCCTGTAATCCTAGCTACGCAGGAGGCTAAAGTCTTAGGATTTCGGTTCAAAGCCAGCCCAGACAGGAAAGTCCGTGAGACTCTTATCTCCAATAAAGCACTCATACAACAGAAGTAGTGCTGTGGCTCAAGTGGTAGAGCGCTAGCCTTGAGCTGAAGAGCTGAGGGACAGCGCCCAGGCCCAGAGTTCAAGCCCTACGACCAGAAAACAAAACAAAACAAAACTATGGGTTTGGGAACAGAAAAATTTGTTTCCTTAAAATTATTAACGATACAATTAGTAAAATAACTTTTCTAGGGCTAGACTTATATGTCAGGAAGTTAATGCCTTAGGAATACCCATCAGTCAATGATGACTAGAAGTTGTTAGATATCCATCCAAGCTTTCCAACCCATTGGGCAGAAACTGACATAAAACAAACTAAAAATCAAAATCTCACATATTTCTCTAGTATAGACTGAGCCCACTGATAGATGATCATGGTAATTCATATGATAAAACACCTTTTATTAACTGCCATCTATTCTAAATATTACTACTGCCACTCTTAATTTTGGTGACCACCTTCCAGAGAGAATATTTAAATTCTTGTTTAAAATAATATTTTATTTTATTGTAAAGGTGATGCACAGAGGGGTATAGTTACCTAAGTAAGGTAGTGAGTATATTTCTTGCCTACGAGTGTTTCCCTCTCCCTCATTTTCTCCCACTTTCCCTTCCCACCCTACCCTCAACTCCTCTCCCACTCCACCCCCACAAGTTGTAAAGTTTGCATTGGTTCACCCTTAGTCCTTTGTCTCACCATTTTGTTACTCCCCTTCCCTTCCCCAAATCAGATAAATGTATATACAAGACACAGGGTACCCAAATTAAAAACAGGGACAACAGGGAGTAAACCAAAGGGAAAAATGAAAGAAAAAATAGCTTCACACAGTACATTTGAAAAACTCTTGTTTCCATATCTTGGAGTTCATTTCAATTAGCATCATTTTTATATGGTCATAGGTACAAAGCTGTTGAGCTATTGTGATCCTCTGCTAGGACTACCTTAGACTTATAATATAATTATTACAAGTGAAGGAAACCATGGAGCCTATGTTTCTTTGGGTCTGGCTTTCTTCACTTATGAATGGGGCAATATCACTCAATATTTAGTCACTTAGAATAATAGTGACTATATCTTTTCATTTTATTTGATGAAAATTGCCATGAAACTTTGATAGATAAATAGATTTAGATTCCAGCCACTGGAAGATTTTAGTTTTGATTTTCTTTCCTAGATTGAGGGGGAATAATACTTATTTTACTACATTACATGATGGGTCAACTCTTTGGTTCACCTTCTAAGACTTAACAAAGCCTGAGTCATTTTTTTACATATACCTGGAATCTTCAGTGTTTTCGTCAACAGTATTTCTGCAATTCTAAGTATCAGAAGTCATGATTTAAACAACCTAGCTTTGGTCAACTTAGAAATAGTGTAGCAAACACAGTTTTCTTCACGATTGCTTTTTCTATAAAAATCAAAATGTTTTATTAAAAATATTGTAAGACCATTATGAATGGTTTTGTAAATGAATACATTTAAATATCTAAGATATTTTTGAAATTAAATTCTTGCCTTCTTAAAAGTCTTCTGTGTGATAGTATACTTAGATTCTGGAACAAAGCAGTCAGAACCAGAAATTGTCCAATTTTCAGAAGAGCAAAATTTCTATTTCATCTATCAACTAGTGTTTTTCTTTCTGCTTTGAATATTGGCCTGAATCCACATTCAAACCCAAGTCCACTAACATACACAGGTAGGATAAATTCACTGAAATATGGGCTAAAATACTATTTTTATTGTCAAGGTAATCAGGTAGGATACAAAAGAGCAAAATATTGATGTATATTGTTATCAGATGGCATGGGTTTAAATCACAGCTTTGCTCTTATGTGAATAAAGGTAGAATAATCTCTCTCTGTCTTTGTTTCTGGTATATAAAATAACAATGGTGCTTCCATAATAAGACTCATGTAAGAATTAAGTGAATCAATGCATATAAGTGCTTACAGTAGATCCTTGAACAGGCTCTTGGTAAATGTGATTGTCTTTCTTTTTTGCTGCTATTATATAGTCAGGGATGTTTTCTTGTCGTGTCTCTGACCTCCCATAATGTGTATATAGTAGAGTGTTGTTGGAGCACTAATCACTTGTACTCGAACTATTTGCTTGTCTTTGTCCCTACTAGACTACCAGGTATGTGAAGAAAAGACTGCTCTTTGTTAATTTCTATAGCTCCTCTCTGTCTAGTACGTAAATTACTTAGGAATAACAACAGTATAGATGTATATGCTATCTGTCCAAATTCACTGTTATGAGAACTGTGTCACTTACTAGATGTTTGACCTGAGGAAAAACAACTACATCTCTGGATCTACATTTTCTCATCCATCAAATGCATAGAAAGATGTCATTTGTAGAATAGTTGTGAAAATTAGAAACCTTTTTTGTTAACTATTTCTATTCTATTCTTTCTTAATCCAAAGTGCTGCTCAACAAGAATTAGAAGACAACTGGACAGGAACCTTACCTTTCATAAAATGGTAGCATGGATGATAGCACTTCACTCTGGTAATTTTATTAAGACATTTGAAATTGCAAAGAAAAATAGTACCCAGACAGTTTATTCTTTTCTTAGATACATATGTGTAAGAGATCAGACTTTATGGTTTCATTGGGTAAAGTCAGATGTGCCATTGTTTTAAAATGAGTTCTGTTCAAAATCATTTACAACTCTGTTACATAATATTAAGATTTAAAAAAATAAAAAATAAGATTTATTTCTTTAATCTTTAAAGCTTTATCATCTGAAGATCTTTCTGTAAAAATGAAAGTATGCCATGGGAAAAGTGAAGCTCATCCTTTTCCAAAGATGTTTGTTAATCCACATATAAGAGCCTCTATTCATGGATTTTACAAAATTACCTGGCTACACATATAGACGTGTGAACTTTTTTCAGTAAACATCTAAGAGCATCGGTCCATAAACTGAGACTCCCTTAAGAAAGTACTTATCACCTTCATTATTACTATAGTTACTTTATAATAATAATAATATGTATAATAAATAATATGCATGCATGTTAATAAACATGCATTGATAAATAATAAATAACACATTATATGTATGCATGTAATAGGTATATCTACTATACAATTATCATAATTATTAGGGTGAGAGTGTTGGTACAAGAAGGAACATGCTGGAAGTGGTGCTGTGGCTCAAGTGGTAGAGCACTCGCCTTGAGCTGAAGAGTGCAGGGACAGCGCCCAAGCCCAGCGTTCAAGGCCCACGACCAACCAAAAAAAAAAAAAAGAAGAAGAAGGAACATGCCTAAGACAATCATAGTAGCTCTGCTACTTCCTGACTAGGTGACCATGAGCAAGATTTTAAAGTTACTATGCCCTAGTTTCCTCATCTGTATGAAAAGCTCATATTAATTGTACCTACATCAATGATTAAGGCTTAAGAAATTATAAAGCACTGATAACGGTACTTGGTATCAAGTAAACCCTATACGAATGATTGTCAAATATAGAAAATTCATTTTAAAGATATTCATACAGCCATTGGATTGTATCAATCATTCTTTAATCTTTCTCAGAGATAATTGCAGAGTTACATAAGTTACATAAGTTTATATGACATATGGCATATATAGAATTTTCTTATCCAAAAACAGACACAGTAGGGAAAGAGAGAGATAAGGAGAACACAGCTAACTTCCCCGGAGACAGAGGCTAATCTAGAAGTTCAGAAATTGGTTGAATCTTTAGAAACGTTAGCTCAAAATTTTTACCTCAACACCATAGATGTTAAGAGATTTCCACAACCCTACAGAGGAAAAGAGCTTAACCACTAAGATTCTTTTGCTTCATTATCTTGTCCATGTAATTGTAACTCCTCTGTATAGTATTTTCACAATAAAAATATCTAAAAAAAAGATTCCTTTGCTTTGGGGACCCTGATCTTGTTTATAAGCCTCCTAGACCATCTTTGTGTTCCTTTGACTTATCATAGAGTAAGAGGCTGTGGCTAGAAGCCCAGATTATGATAAATTTGTGCATACTTTAACTTTCCTTGTTTCTCTTCTTTGCCCTTTTAGCAATTCATACCATTGCACATCTATTCAATGTGGAGTGGTGTGTGAATGCCCGAGTCAACAATTCTGATTATTATTCCATAGCACTGTCTAACATTGGAGACAAAGAGAATGAAACTTATCTCAACTTTGCTCGAGAAAGAATCAAGGTAAACCTCTCATTTCCCAACTGAGATGCTTCATAGGCTATCAAAACAGAAGACTTTGTTTTAGTGACTGAAGAACTCGACCTAGCTAGAATAATAACAGAAATTGGCTGATTGTGAGAGATACTTGTATATATGTTATAAGAATGTGAGTACCAAAAAAAAAAAGAATGTGAGTACAGGGCTGGGAAGGTGGATCAGTGGTAGAGTGCTTGCCTTGCATGCATGAGGCCCTGGGTTCGATTCCTCAGCACCACATAAGCAGGGAAAAAAAAAGGCGGAAGTGGCGCTGTGGCTCAAGTGGTAGAGTGCTAGCCTTGAGCTGAAGAGCTGAGGGACAGCGCCCAGGCCTAGAGTTCAGGCCCCACGACCGGACCCCCCCCCCAAAAAAAGAAAAAGAATGTGAGTACAGAGTAAATGTCTCCCACACATCTGATCCCATGTGTAGAGGCTGTCCAACTGTTTTCCAGATCCTTTGAAAATGTGTATACATGGTGACTAAGGTAACTCAGGCTCACCAATGAGTTTGCCATGAGTTGAATAAAGCAAGGAAGGCATAGCTAATCAAACAAATTGGGTTTGCCACTTGCCACAGGAATTCCATGCCATAAAGAAATCTCAGGGAGTTGTTAGAAGAGATCCATGATAGGAATTAAAACTTGTGTTAGATGGTATTGAGGATGGTTTTAAAAAGCAAAGGTTGCCAGGCACTGGTGGCTCATGCCTGTAATCCTAGCTACTCAGGAGGCTGAGATCTGAGAATCTCAGCTCAAAGCCCGCCTTTGCTTTGGTGCCAATAAACCACCAGAAAACCAGAAGTGGTGCTGTGGCTCAAGTGGTAAAGCAGTAGCCTTGAGCTGAAGAACTGAAGGACATCGCCTAGAGGTCAAGCCCCATGACCGACAAAAACAAAAAAAAACAAAAAACAAAAACAAAAAAAAAACAAAAACAAGGGTTTGCTTTGAATTGGGGATGGTCAGGAATGAGCGATGGTTCTGAGATCACTATCTTATTTTTTTCTCCCAAAAGGCAGAAAGAACCCAAGGTGTTTAAATATATAATAGGTATACAAGTAGCATCACTCATGTTTTGTATGGGCTCAAACACAATTTCAAAGCATCTCACTTCATCAGTTACAAAGTAACCTTGTTTGATGTTGATGTTATATGAAGTGACTTGTGTAAATTAGGGAGCGCTTGGCCTAGTTGTTAGTGTCAGATCAACCATTAGCTGACAGTTGTCAGTGATGCTTGTGTTCTTCCTTGCCTACAACAGCTGGGAGTGGCTCTTAGCTGCTAATTGTTATCCTTTGGTGCACTGAGAGTAACTTGGCAGCTTTTCAGGGGCAGACGTAAGAATGTTCAGAGTCAAGGACTTCTTTCATCTCATACATTGTTGAAGCTTCTTACTCCCGGCTATTTTCATATGCCCAATGGTAGAGGCTAAATCACATGACTACCCATTAAATTTCAATCACATATTCCTTATATTTAGGAAAAAATCACGAGAACATTCTTTTCTTTGGGGGAGGGGGGTCCGGTCGTGGGTCCTGAGCTCTGGGCCTGGGTGCTGTCCCTCAGCTCCTCAGCTCAAGGCTAGCGCTCTACCACTTGAGCCACAGCGCCACTTCCGGTTTTTTTCTTTTTGCTTATGTGGTGTTGAGGAATCGAACCCAGGGCCTTAGGCATGCAAGGCAAGCACTCTACCACTGAGCCACCTTCCCAGCGCCCGAGAACATTCTTAATATTTCTGTTATCCTTGAACTGACAGGAGGAACTTTGCAGTATCTCCTTGTTTTATTCTATCATTTCTTGGGTAAGTTTTCTTTACATTGTTCATTTTTGGCTTAGTGATGTATAAGGGAGGCAATATGAACACACTAGCTGAGCTGACACTATCATACTTTGCCCAGATTTGGGGGGTCATTTTTATTTTATCTGAGATCTCCCAGAGTGCTTTTATTCCTTGGTTACATGTGCCTCTTTGCTTTTCCAAGGACTGACCTTGCTGGAAATTGGAAGGGCCTAGACAGTAACCTCTCTCTTGGCATCCTTTATCCAGTAAGTGATGAGTGTAGGCCTTTAATTATCATCTTCTTTGCCTCCAGTTGGGATAAACTCTGAGGTATATCTTATCCTCCAGAGTTCCCCTGCAGGGTCATGCCAAAGCTATCCTCTGTGAGACTTTGAGCTCATGCGCTTGCTTGGCTTTTTCCCTTTTCTTTTGTTGTATTCCTCATTTGCTTACTAGTTTCTCTCAGAGAACATTCTCTAAATCACTGGTCTATGAATTCTCATCTCAGGATCCACTCCTGGTGAACCCAGCCTCAGGTGGTAGGAATTTCCAGAATACACTGGGAAAGCAATCACTGTTGCCCTTTCTGAACTAAAGGGAGAAAGAGTTTCCAACACTTTTAGGACATCGTTCATCATTTTTTACATACAAATTTGTATTTTCTATGACTCCTCAATTGTGTAAACTTTCAAATTAAGAAATAGTTGCTCCAAGTCTATATCTCTCCATGAGGAGTAAGTAGGACTACTCCTAAGGGGACATGAGTCTAAGTTTAAATACTTTCATAAATACCTGCATTTGAGAACTTATGATAATATGTGCGTGTGTTTTTTTTTCTATTTTACAGAACCCTGAAGGGGGCCTATATGTGGCTGTGACTCGGTTGGCAGGAATCACTGGAATTGTGATCACATTGTGTCTCATATTAATTATTACCTCTTCCACCAAAACCATCCGGAGGTCTTACTTTGAAGTGTTTTGGTACACACATCACCTCTTTGTGATCTTCTTCATTGGTCTTGCCATCCATGGAGCTGAGTGAGTTTTTAGTCCCATAGCCAAGGACTTTATGTGTGTTGCCCTGGGAGAAGCACAGTTACTTTCTTACTTATATGTGGTCAACTTGTCTACTGAGGGGATGTAAAAGAACAGCAGAGATCACTTTAGTGGAGACCAGTCAGCAACACTGTAAATTTTGTTGCAGGAGATTTTAGGATCCAGGACAAAATTCCCTGGTCAGGTCTGGCCACTTTCCTTGAAGAGAGAAAAAGTAACATTTCAATCCAACCTCTGTACTTTTCCTGGAACAGACATTTTCTTTAGCTTTAAATAGGAGGAAGAATTGGAGATAGGGTAAAAGGCATATGTAATTGTTACATAGTCTCAGTCACAGAAATGTTTTGATGGCTATGAGTGACTGGTGACAGTCACAAGTGATCTTGGTAGCACATTTTCTCAGGATTGGTCCAGAGAGCCTTATTATAGTAAGATGCCTGGTAAGCTTTCCACTTCTTTCTGGATTCCAAGATGGCGTCACTTTTATCCTGCCTTTCGTTAATTTATGAGTCCAAATAAGAAGTCAGTGTTTCTCAGCAAAAGCAACTGTTAAACAACTGTTACAGTTTCCTCTACCCAACTAACTACTGCTTGCAATGTAGTTATTTATAGCAATCACTCCAAGGAAAATACATCATAGTCTGATTATCTCTGCAAGTATATAACACTGGTAGGACCTTGCATGTCTACAAACTTGCCTCCTGTGACCTAATCACTTAGTGAATTGGATGAACTCCCAAACAAGAAGAGTTAATGATTAATCAATTGAGGTTTTCTGTGGTTCAGCTGGTTTTGACTGAAACCACCAGTTATTTATTGGATGCCTACTGTGTATCAAGACCTACCTTGGGCACTGTGGGAAATGTTAGCAAGAAAAATACATGGATATTGCTTTGAAACATATAATTAAAGTAGCAGCTAACATCTGTTGAGCACTGTTCTGCCTCAAGGTCTATATTTAGAGTTTGATGTTAAATGTTTCTTTTAATCTCTGAACTGTATAAATACTCTTACTATTCCTAGTGACTTAAAAATAAAAATGGTGAAAATATGTAGACTAGGCCCCTCGCAGCTGAAGAGTGACCCAGAGTACAGATGGTCTAAAACAAATTACATGAATGTTCTCACAGAAATACACAGAGCCTTCACGTGCACTTGGAAGGAATCAGCTTTAATACTTGATTTCCTTTTTCTACTGTTTCCTACCACCTGCAGGCCCAGGAAAGTTCCCTGGTAGGTACAGATTTCCAGGAAACTAAGGGTTGGGAAAGTAGATATTCAAAACTCAAACACTCTTCTCAGAACCAAGCTGATTAGGCTAGTGTAGTCAAGTCGAGAATAAAAAGGGGAAGGGTAAAGAGAACAGCTTTGGTAACTTCTGCATATGTTCTAATGTATTTCCTGACTCTGACACCTGATAAACTCTTTCTAAGTGCTAAGAAATCAACAGGGTAGAAAAATCTCTTGACTCTCCTAAACTAATTGAATATCTTTAAACAGAGCTTCATCATAAACATGCTCTTTCAGTGAATTCTAGGGAACACAAAGAATTCCTTCCCCTCTCTAATTTAGCAGTTCTAGACACTGTCTATTTGGATAGTGTCACAGATATCCATCTTCCTATGGAGCAGACAGAGATTTCTTTACTCTGCTGTCCATTGGAGGAGCATCTGTTACTTACACTGGTTAGGTATTGTTCCCAGTCGACAGTGTAACAGTTGAACTAGAATTAAAATTCAGGTTTCCAGATTTCTGGTACTAAACTTGAGAAATACAAAATTGGATTTTTTTCTATCATTTACTCCCTATGTGAGCATCAGAATCAAGAACTTTAATAGCTATCATTGTTTTAACCCTTGATTTATAGTGGATCCTAGTATTGTGCTGGTTCTGGGGCTTGAACTCAGGGCCTGGGTGCTATCCTAGCACTCTACAACTTGAGCCACAGTTCTACTTCAAACTTTTTGGTAGTTTATTAGATAAAAGAGTCATGGACTTTCCTGCCAGGACTGGCTTCAAATTGCAATCCTCAGATCCCAGCTTCCTGAGTAGCTAGGATTACGGCCTGAGCCACTAGTGCCCAGTTTATAGCTGACATTTTTATACATCATATCAATTGGTATGATGAGGTACTATTATATGAAGTACTTTAATGAGGTATTATTATACCTATTTTATGGCTAAATTATTTTACTTCATATTTTTTTCCAAGGGTTTGATCTGAGATTTGAACCCAATGCTACCTGGCTTGGGTTATTACCCTCATGTAAAATGAGAATGATAATACTTGCCTCTAAAGCTTGTTATGATCATTAACTAAGATAATTGGTGAACAACACTTTTCCATGTCTATCCATAGTAATTGCTGCATGTATGGTGATTCTTCCTGGGAACAAAAAGAGGGGGTTAATTAATTTGAATTAAAACATCATCAGAATATACTATATGGAATGATACATTTTAGGTCTCTCTCTAAGACAAATTTTGAAAAGGACTTTTTCTAGTCCTGTAGCTTGAACTCTGGGCCAGGGTGCTGTCCCTGAGCATTTGTGTTCAAGGCTAGCACTCTACCACTTGGGCCACAGCTCCAGTTCCAGCATTTTGCTGGTTAATTGGAGATGAGAGTCTCAGGGCCTTTCCTGCCCAGGTTGGCTTTGAACCATGATTCTCAGATCTCAGCCTCTTGAGTAGCTAGGATTACAGATATGAACCACTGGGACTGGCTTGGTTTCTTGGGCTTTTTTCCCGTATATTTTGAAGAGTATGTTTATTTTCCTTGAAGTCAAGGACATGACTTACTTAACTTGGTGTCTCCATCTTCCCATCATCACTAATCCAGAACTATCTTTTCATGGTTGCTCCATTAGTATTTACTGAGTTTAAGTGAATAATATCTGAACATACTGTTGGCACTAGTGCCTGTAACGATGGCATGATCCCCATAAGGTTAAGTCTTCTCAAACAATTCAACCTCTTAGGTTAATTTAGATAGTTTCATTTTCTTTACTATTTCATTTTTTTAGACAAGGTCTCACTGTGTAGCACAGGTATTCCTCAAATCCATTATGTAACCCAGTCTGGCCTCAAATTAATAATCTTCCTCCTTCAGCATTCTGAGTGTAGGATTATATGTGTGTACCATGACTCCCACTCTAGACAATTTTTATTCTAATTTTTATTCAATTCTAATTTTAATTCAATTCTAATTCTCAAGGCCACTGTTGATGACTGTATGGGTTATCCTACTGCTAGTTACACCCTTTACCTAGAACGTTGTCCTCACAGAAGACAAACTTTTATCTAGTTTGTACAAAGGCACAGTATGGACTAGCATTCAGCATGTAACATTTGCATTTTATCTGGTTTCTTGTGTTTGTTTATAAATCAAAATAGCTGAGACATGGTTTCCCTTTAAGAAAGCATATGTATTGTATGGATGATCTAAGACTTAACCTTTACATCACCCTGACAATAAAATTTTAAAAATAGACTTAACCTCTGTAATAATATAGATATTGATATTCTTCATGCCATTACACAATTTTTCCTACTATACAAGATCATGTATTTTCTTTCCCTTCCTCTAATTTGTTCAGAGATAACATAAGATAGTCCTTTTAGTGAAAAGTATAGGACACACATTAAGGTTTTTAAAGTATGTCCAGAGTCAGGGCTGAGGATGTAGCTTGGTAGTCAGGTACTAACCTAGCACACGTAGGACCTGGGTTCTATTTCAAGTACTACAAAAAATTTTAAGAATCCAAAAGTTGTCTGAACTTAACTTTTTTTTTTCTCAGACGAATTGTACGTGGGCAGACTGTAGAAAGTTTGAATGAGCACAAACTAGTACAATGTAATCAAAGTATCTCCCAGTGGGGAAAAATAAAGGACTGTCCAATACCAAAGTTCTCTGGGAATCCTCCTATGGTACGTATAAATTATCATTACTACTATAGTTTTATTACTGGAAATCTTTCAAATGTGTCTGTAAAGCATGTACCTATATCCTAGAGTTGTCTGTTACAAATGTCATGGAATTTCGAGGATGTTGTATCTGATTTTCTCTATTTAATGCCTAGAATTTTTCTTGCAATACAAACTTTGCACTGGTCAATGTCCTGACATAAAACCTGGTAAAGCAGTGTTTGATTCAAGAGATTCCATCATTTTTTCTTCTGAATGCAAAGACCACGGTAAAACTAGTCAATTTCCAACGGGACACTTTGTTATTCCATCCTACACTGAGGTGAATAGCTCAAATCACTATGAGGAGCATCTTTCTATATGGCTCAAGAATTAGGAGGAAAATCAGGGAAATGTACTTACTCTTTGCTGGCATCAGAAAATCCATTCTACTAGGCATGAAGGAAGCCGGACAGCCATGTTCACACCACCAGACTTATAACACCTTGTGATGGTGCAGGAATTTGACAAAAGTAAGGAAGGGGAAAGATAGTGAAACTGTCCTAGATGGAGTTGTAAAAGGCTCCGTTTTGTTTATCCTCAATATGGTTTCTCCAAAAAAGTAAGAAGTAGGACCTGTAATCTTCCTATCTCTTTCTCTGTTGGCATAAAGTATACTTTATTGGTTATTGTCCTAACTGTAGATGTAAAACTAAATAAAATGCCAACATTTGTATGAAGATTCTGAATAGGATTATGCTTTCTTCAGTATAATATGATATATTATTTTTTAAAAGGCAAATTTATCATTCATTTATTCCTTTCTATCTTCCTACTTTCTTGGTGTGAGAGGACTCTTCTAGATATATCAGGATATGAAGATCCATCTTTGAGACCTAGGTTTATTCATTAATGAAAGCATTAGGCATGTCATTGGACTGTCTCCACTACATGAAAGTGTCAGTAGAAAAAACTGAAAAGGGAACCATTTTGTTGGTCTTTTTCTAGGACAGGGAAAGCCCATTTTGTCAATGACAGATGGCATTAGAGTTCAAATACCTTTATAGGGATCTACCTCAAAAGAGCTGCACAATTTCTGGAACTATTAGGGGCAGTGGCCAAATCTGGCTCCTTTAATAGTACCTCAGTGTGGCACCCAGGAAAGAGATGGGTGATATGAGACTATTTGAAATACCTTCCTATAAACATGATATACAGCAGCAGAACATTTCTGATGTCTGGTGTCAGTATTATTCTACTTTGGATGGAAATGTGGATATTCAAGTGGTCTTAGCTTCCAACAAAATGTTTCTCAAATATATAATTCACTAGAAAGATCATTTGTGAAACTATGGTAAGCATTGCCTGATTTCTTTCTTTTTTAGAATCCATTAAGGAAAAATCATCTTTTAGATAATGTTGCCTTCTAAACATGTTTTAATGCTTTGGAACTCCACTAGCCAAGTCTCAGGGTGAATCTGTCTAAATGTGCTTTTACACAGACACAATGAAGCACTGTGTATTCTAACCAGATGGTTAGCTCCAGAAGTCTAAAAAGCTTTCTATCTGTTCTTTTGGCAAGAGCGTTGCATAGCTTTACAACTTTACCAGAATACTGGAGAAACAGCTAAACTCTTACACAAAATGTGTGATCTTTCAAAAGATTCATCTGACTCCATAGTTAAGAGAAAGCAATAACAGTGTTGCATTAAAAACACCATGTCGCTGAAATGGTATCCTTTAGAGACATTAATTCTGAAACCAACCACAGTCTATTGTAGGGTGTTGCAATTGCGGTTATGACATTGAGAGAAAATCTTATTCTTGTAGGCAGTTCCTCTTTGGAAACTTTCATACTTCAGATACAGTTCCCCAATGAGGCTAAGGAGAAAACTAATTTTTACTAGCTCAACAATTTGTCATAACTTGAGCTTTTTATACATTGTTTTACAAGAAATCTACTTCTCTAGTGTCAAATTTGTGTGTGAGGGGGTGGTGGTCCTGGGGCTTAAACTTGGGGCCTGAGCACTATCTCTGAGCTTCTTTGGGTCAAGGCTAGCTCTCTAACACTTGAAATACAGCTCTACTTCTTGCTTTTTTGGTGTTTAATTGAATGAAGATTAGTCTTACAGACTTTCCTGCCAATGCTGGCTCCAAACTGACATCCTCAGACCTCAGCCTCCTGAGTAGCTAGGAGTACAGGCATGAGCCACCTGTGCCCAGCCAGTGTCAAATATTTTTTAAAAACCTACAAAGGGGGCTGGGAAGGTGGCTCAGTGGTAGAGTGTTTGCCTTGTATGCATGAGGCCCTGGGTTCGATTCCTCAGCACCCCATAAGCAGAAAAAAAGCCGGAAGTGGTGTTGTGACTCACATGGTAGAGCACTAGCCTTGTGGCTCAAGTGGTAGAGCGCTAGCCTTGAGCTGAAGAGCTGAGGGACATAGCACCCAGGCCCAGAGTTCAGCCCCGTGACTGATTCCCCCCCTCCCCCCCCAACAAAAAAAAAAAACCTACAAAGATGCATCTGACTTGTAAAAATTTTTTCCTAAATATTTTATTACCTACTATCCTTAATACATCTCATTGTAGTTTTGCTTTGATTACAGACTTGGAAATGGATAGTGGGCCCCATGTTCCTGTATTTCTGTGAGAGGTTGGTGCGGTTCTGGCGATCTCAACAGAAGGTGGTCATCACCAAGGTATTGGATGGCTTAGTGATTACTAGTAATCTGTGTGTAAGCATATCAGGAACTCTCCCTAAGTTCCCTGATTTGTATTCAGTTTTTTTCAATAAGCTTAAAGCAGGTAGAAGAAGTAAGATTACTACACTGTACTTAGTTTACAAATAAATAGTGGGGTATTTGAATTGGGGGCCTTTTACTTTTACTTGGCTTTTCTGCTCACAACTGGTGCTCTACTATTTAAACCATATATCCATTCCAGTTTATGTCAATTAATTCAAGATAAAATTTTCTACATTTAGTCTGCCTGGGTTGGCTTTCAAATTCGATTTCAGCTTCCTAAGTGGGTAAGATTATAGGTGTGAGCCACCAGCCCACAGCAATAGTGTGAGTACAACATGCTCCACTTTCTATCTTCTTGGCCTCTTGGCTAAGCCAAGTATAAAAGGTAGAAGGTACCACTTCCTCTATTAAAATGAGGCCAGTATCTTTCTCTTCATCCCCACATCCCCCCCCCTTTCTCTCTCTCTCTCTCTCTGTGTGTGTGAAAGAGAGAGAGAGAGAAGAGAGAGAGAGAGAGAGAGAGAGAGAGAGAGAGAGAGAGAGAGAGAGTATAAAGGAGAAGGGCAAAGATGCATTAAGCCATTTAGTCATGAACCAAGAAGGAAAACAAGAGAGACAAAGTTTTCAGATGCCAAAAGGTCCAACTAATCAAGAGTAAGTGTCACCAAAATGAAAAGACTTTTCTAAGCCATCATTTCTGTCCTTTAGAATCATAGAATAGGGGCTGGGAAGGTGGCTCAGTGGTAGAGCACTTGCCTTGCATGCCTGAGGCCCTGGGTTCGATTCCTCAGCACCACATAAGCAAAAAGAAAAAAGCCAGAAGTGGCGCTGTGGCTCAAGTGGTAGAGCGCTAGCCTTGAGCTGAAGAGCTGAGGGACAGCGCCCAGGCCCAGAGTTCAGGCCCCACGACCGGACCCAAAAAAAAAAAAAAAAAAGAATCATAGAATATCAGAACTGAAATGCCTGAAGTGTCAAGCAAGGTAGTAACTAAGCTGCATCTTCAACTTGGTCTCCTATCTCCAAGTCTCAAGAGGCATTTCTTCTCTCTTCTATGGTTTTATCCATCATAAAACAAATAGGTGGATATCCATCCATACATATATATGAACTCATATATATTCATATATATAAATATAAACTCATATATATGAACTTTGTTAGAATATCAAGAAACACTAGATAAGACCATTTTCTTCAAATGAAATTTAATATAACTCAGTTGAAAAATTATTTACCAAAAATCTTCTATGGGTTACTTTTTCAAAACACAAAAATGGAAGTAGAAAGTAGTCATTTCTAGCTTTTTTTTTTGATATCTATAATGGTCATGGTAAAACTTGTCCTGCTGACATTGGCAGTTATGCAACACAGGAAGTCACAAAAGTTCCCTTTTTATGTATGTTATCTTGTATTATAAGAAAAAAACCCAGGGTCTGGGGGTTTAGCCCAGCGGAAGGGTGCCCGCCTGGCACACGCAAGGCCCTGGGTTTGGTTCTCAGCCCCAGAAAAAAAAAAAGAAAAAAACCCATAGATCAGTAAAATGGGGTGCCACAAAATTCCCCTTAAAAGAGGTGACTAAACTAGACAAATATTTCTCTGAAATACATACACACAATATATATATATATATATATATATATATAATTATGGTAAACATGTTTCCTTGTGATAAAGAGATAACTTTCCTCTCATACAAACATAAGAAACAAGAAACAAGATTTTATCAAAAAAATTTCCAGGGAAAATGCTGTCTACTAGTGCATCCTATTAAGTTAAATCTTCTTTATGCCTGTGGTAATAGAATTGCAATGTGAGAGAAAATTATTTTCATCACACAAAATTGCAACATGATAAACAATTTTCAAAATACTTTCAAAATGATGCTTTCCAACTCCTTATTTCAAAGCATGGGGAAGTTGGTAACAATTTCCTCATATAAAACACTATGTTGAAAGTGAACTGTACAACTTCAGAGTATGGGGAGGGAGGAGTTGGGGAGGTGGGGAGGGAAGGGATGATAGAGAAAAACAAAGAAGGAGGTAACAATGCTCGATAGGAAATGCACTCATTTAACTGTGACCCCTCTGTACAGTATCTTTACAATAAAAAAAGTATACTTAAAATATCCCACATTTATACAGTCACAAATTTTGAAATGTTTGACTTGTGATGCTGGGGGTAAAATCCAGTGTTTTGTTTTTTTTTTTAAATTTAATTTAATTTTATTTGTGAACATACTGTACAGAGGAGTTACAGTTACATGGGCAGGATAATGCGTACATTTCTTACCAAGCATTGCAGCCTCCTCCTTTGTTTACCCTTCACATCCCTTCCCAGCCTCCCCCCTCCCCCCCTAATCCCAATCCTTCTCCTTCCCCCCCTTCCCCCCCCTTTCCCCTCCCGCCCCCCCACACCAACGTTGTAAAGCTCGTTTTGGACATGACAACTTGTACTTCTCATTGTTGCAACAGGTCCACCTGTATCCTTAAACAACTGGTTTTTCCCCATCTCCTCCACAAGTTATACTGACATCAAATATAGTGAAAGCAGGGGTTATACTGTGGGGGAGGGACATACAAAGCAACAAAGAGATAATCTTATAAATGTGTTAGAAACACATGCATGAAAGAAAAAAACATTAAAATACACATCTAAGGGTTCATTTTCCTGACATCACATTATCTGACCTTTTCCGCTTGACTCATACATATACTAGATATTACAAATAAAGGAAACCATGGGACCTACGTTTCTTTGGGCCTGGCTTACTTCACTTAATATAATTTTTTCCAAGTTTTTCCATTTCCTAACAAATGGGGCAATGTCATTCTTTCTGATGGAGGCATAGAATTCCATTGTGTATATATACCACATTTTCTTGATCCATTCATCTACTGAGGGGCATCTGGGTTGGTTCCATATCTTAGCTATGGTAAATAATGCTGCAATAAACATAGTTGTGCTGGTAGCTTTAGTGTGGTCTTGTTTGTAAACATTAGGGTAAATGCCCAAAAGTGGGATTGCTGGGTCATAGGGGAGCTCTATGTGAAGTCTTTTGAGGAACCTCCATACTGCTTTCCAAAGTGGTTGAACAAGTTTACATTCCCACCAACAATGAAGTAAGGTTCCTTTCTGTCCACATCCCCTCCAGCATCTGTTGTTGTTAGAGTTCTTGATTTTTGCCGTTCTAACTGGAGTGAGGTGATATCTCAATGTTGTTTTGATTTGCATTTCTTTTATGGCTAGGGATGTTGAACATTTCTTCATGTGTCTATTGGCCATCCTTCTTTCTTCTTCAGAGAAGTTTCTCTTTAAGTCTTTAGCCCACTTATTTATTGGGCAGTTGTTTCTTTGAGGATTTGTTGTTGGGGGGTTTAATTTTTTGAGTTCCAAGTATATTTTAGATATGAGACCCTTGTCGGTTGTATGGCTAGTAAAGATCTTCTCCCAATCCGTGGGCTTTCTATTGATCTTGCTAGCTATGTCATTTGCCCTGCAGAAGCTCTGCAACTTTATGCAATCCCATTTGTCCAACCTTTCTTTGATTTGTTGTGTTTCCGGGTCTCTATTCAGAAAATTTCGGCCTGAGCCAAGGAGACCTAGGGTTTCTCCTATTCCATCCTGTAATGTTTTCAGAGTGTCTGCTTTGAGTTCAAGGTCTTTGATCCATTTGGAGTTGATTCTGGTGCAGGGTGATATATAAGGATCTAGCTTAAATTTTCTACATGTAGTTAACCAATTTTGCCAGCACCATTTACTGAAGAGGTTGTCTTTCTTCCATTCTATTGTAAAATCCAGTGTTTACACATGTTAAACACATAATTTACCACTATGCTACATCCCCAGACAGCAATTTTATTTCTGGTAGTAGTTTGAACTCAGAGCCTCATCCTCATTCTGTTAATGCTTTACCACTTGATTCATGCCTCCAGTTCTGCCTTTTTCCCCCAGGCTGGCTTTGAACCTCAATCCACTGGAATCTCAGCCTACGATTGCATGCATAAACCACCAGCACCTAGATCCCAGCCACACACACACACACACACACACACACACACACACACACACACACACACACACACACACACACACACACACACACACACACACACACACACACACACACACACACACTGGGCTTCCAGTTACATGAGTCCGGTAATGAGTACATTTCTTTTTCAACAATGTCTCCCCTTCCCTTGCTCTCTCCCAGTTTTTCTTTCCCATTCCCACCCATAAAACCCAAGAAATACAAGCAAGATTTTTTTTTTAATTGTACTGTTTGCAATTGTTTCTTTTTCTTTCTTTCTTTTTTCCCCTTTGGTTTATTCCCCATTGTCATTGTACTTGTGTATATAAATTTATCTGATTTGGGATAGGAAGAGGAATCAATACAACAGCCATACTCTCTGGACACTATGTTGGAAATGAACCTTATAACTTGTGGGGGAGTGGAATGGGGGAGAGGGAGGGAGAGAAAATGAGGGAGAGAGTAACACTGTTTACAAAGAAATGTACTCATTACCTTACTTATGTAACTGTAACTCCTCTGTACATCATCTTTACAATAATTTTTTAATGTGTAGTTCATTTTCCACATCGTGTCTAGTGAGTACCCCTTTGTTCCACTTTTTCTGTGCCCTCATTACCCTACCAAAGACAAAGTAGCAAATAAGAGAAAAGGAGAAGACAACAACAACAGCAACAATAATAACAAAAATCTGGTTTTCTTTTCTCTAGACATTCACATAGTGAGACCAAAGGAGGATACACATAGAAGTGGATCACAGAGGCTCCAGAGCTATGAGCATATGATCATATAAAATAATATTTTACGAAATGAACTCCAACAATTCTTATTGAAAGGATTTCTCATTCTTCCATAATTCTCTACTCATTCAAAAAACATAGTGAAATGCTTCATTACATTATACTTTGTGCAATGATCAAATGAAGATAATTGAAATATTCTTCACCTTGAATATTTATCATTTCAAGGTGCTGAGAACACTGAAACTCATAACTAGCAGTTTTGAAATATGAAATGTATCATTGTTGTCCATAGTCTCCCAATGGTACAACAGACCATCAGAACTTCTTACTCCTATCGAAGTACAAGTCAGTACAAATTAATCAGTCTTCTTCAACTATCCTTCCCTCTCTCCTCAGCATCTTGTAGCCACCATTCTATTCCCAAATTCAGTTAGATTAAATCTTAGATTCCACATATGAGTGAAATCATGCTGAATTTGTCTTTTTGTGCCTGGTATAGTGCACTTAACATAATGTTGTACAGGTTTACCCATCTTTTGTAGAAGACAAAATTTTACCCCTTTTTAAAAACAGCTGAATAGGGGCTGGGAAAGTGGCTCAGTGGTAGAGCGCTTGCCTTGCATGCTAGAGGCCCTGGATTCGATTCCTCAGTACCACATAAGCAAAAAGCCGGAAGTGACGCTGTGGCTCAAGTGGTAGAGCGCTAGCCTTGAGCCGAAGAGCAGAGGGACAGTGCCCAGGCCCAGAGTTCAGGCCCCACGACCGGACCCAAAAATAAATAAATAAATAAAAACAGCTGAATAGTATCCCACTATGTATATGGACCCCGTTTTTGCTTAACCACTTATATATTGATGGCTATTATAAGTAGAGCTACAACAACTTATAGGAGCTCCAGTGTTCCTTTGACAATAGAAAGTATATTTCTATATTGCTGTTTGCTGTGTTCTTTTTTTAGTGTTTGCGGGTGCTGAGGATTGAACTCAGCTTTGTGCTCTCACTTGATTTTGTCACTAAGGGTGACACTACCACTTAAACCACAGTTCCATTTCTGGCTTTTTTGTTGCTTAATTGCAAATAAGAGTCTAGTGGACTTTTCTGCCAGGACTGGTTTTCAAGAGCAATCCTTAGATCGCAGCCTCTTGAGTTGCTAGGATTACAAATGTGAACCTGGTTATTGTGCTCTATTTTATTTATGTATTTGTTTTTTGTCAGTTGTGGGGCTGGAACTCTGAGTCTGGATGCTGTTCCTCAGCTCTTCAGCTCAAGGCTAGCACTCTACCAATTGAGCCACAGCACCACTTCCAGTTTTTTGGTGGTTTATTGGAGATAACAGTCTCACAGTCTTTCCTGCCCAGGCTGGCTTTGAACTGTGATCCTCAGTTCTCAGTCTCTTGAACAGCTAGGATTACAGGCATGAGCCTTCAGCACCCTGGCTCATTTTCTATTTTTAAATACTTACCTGGTCACTACTTAATGGACATTTGGATTGTTTCCTGTTTTGCTATTGTGAGTAAAGCTGGTATAAACACATGTGTAGATGAGAATGAATGGTAACAGTGGTTACTACTTGACTTGAGGAGAGATGGGTGGAATATTTTCAAATAGAAACAATGTATGAAGAATAGGACAAGTTTGAGATGTGATTCAGGACTAGGATGGATAGCAGAGTTAACTTGGTGTAGAGGCTGTTGCCATATAAATAGCCAATGTGATCTCCTTCTTCTTTTGTTTAGCTACCAAGATCTCTCATCTCCTGGAGAGAGAAGATGGATGAACTGAATGGCATTTGTTTTCTATTTTTTGTAACTTTTTTGTGTTCTGAGAGAAAAAAAATTGCAATAGGCTGACAAGTTAGGTTGAATTCCTTTGTAAATGCCATGTAACAGAGAACTGAATGTGAAAGGAGTATAGGGCATATTCTCAGGAACAGATAAAATGTATGAACTGAACTTGTAAAGAAAATAACGCAGGGCATGGCAGCACATGCCTGTAATTCTAGCAATGAGGAAGCTGAGGCAGAAGAATTACAAGATCAAAATTGGTGGGGCTGGGAAGGTGACTCAGTGGTAGAGTGCTTGCCTTGCATGCATGAGGCCCTGGGTTCGATTCCCCAGTACCACGTAAGCGGAAAAAGCCAGAAGTGGTGCTGTGGCTCAAGTGGTAGAGTGCTAGCCTTGAGGCAAAGTGCTGAGGGACAGTGTCCAGGCCCAGAGTTCAGGCCCCACGACTGGACCCCTCAAAAAAAAAAACAAAACAAAAAGACCAAAGTTGGTCTGGGCTACATACTAAGTTGCAGGCTAATCTAGGCCATATAGCAAAATACTGTCTCAAAAGAAAAGAAAGAAAGACACTTACCCAAAATTTGGTTGCTATATCAGCCTGACCTGGTCCTACAAGGAATACTTGAATTTAAGTGGCTCCTTGGAAAGCCCACAACTTGAAGCCAGATGACCAAGATTTGGTCTCTTTTCATCACAAATCACTGGCTATGGCTTATGGCTGAGGGAAAATCCAATGGCAAACACATCTGGAGGACTTTCTTTGTTGGTCCTGAAATGAAAACCTTGGCTGGTCTACTTCGCTCTGCCTTTTATTCTTTCAATGTCATTTGCAAAAGCAAATATTTGGGGAATCTGTCATTTCTAGAGACATGTTTTATTTTACAGGTTGTCACCCACCCTTTCAAAACCATTGAGCTGCAGATGAAGAAAAAGGGATTCAAGATGGAGGTGGGACAGTACATTTTCGTCAAGTGCCCTGATGTGTCCAAGCTGGAGTGGCATCCTTTCACACTGACTTCTGCCCCAGAGGAAGACTTCTTTAGCATCCATATTCGCATTGTTGGGGACTGGACAGAGGGGCTGTTCAATGCTTGTGGCTGTGATAAGAAAGAATTTCAAGATGCCTGGAAACTACCTAAGTGAGTATAAAGAACACATTACAAAGTGCATAACTTTAGGAAAAACTGAACTAAAAAGATACTCTCAGCATAGTAGTAGCTCTTGATTCTCTGACAAAAAAAAAAACAGTGGCTCTAATATATAGATAAATATACATAGCTTTCACTGTATTCCCCATTGCATGCATGTGGTATTTATACATTTTTTTATAAATTGTATATGAAATATATAATTGGATCAAACATTAGTAATGAATAGTCACATTTCTTAAAATATATGAGGGCCAAAGCCAAGTCATATTAACTTCTTCTATCAAACAAAACTGTAGTATGTCAAACATACTCTTAATTTTAATTAGCATCATTTTTGAGGATGAATGTTATATGTTACTTGCTTTGTATCTGCTCATATGTCAACATAATATTAAGCACTTAGCAATGCTGAAGAAAAAAGTTTCTTGAATGGTACATAAACAAACAATTGAAAAGGGATATTAAATCTACAAGGTGTTATGCTGTAGAAAATTCTTATTGAATGTGCTATGTACGAAGAATTTCAAGTGTAGGATTTTCTGGCAAAACACACAGATATGCAGGTGTGTTTGTGTGTGTGTGTGTGTGTGTGTGCGTGTGTGTGTGTGTGTGAGAGAGAGAGAGAGAGAGAGAGAGAGAGAAGCAAAGAAGGATAAAGAAATGAAAACATACCAATGGTGAGTTACCAAATGTTTCCAGTTAGCTAAGCATTCCTCTTATTTCCAATCCCAGTTTGGTATTAGGTTGGCTAATTGAAAGTCCTCTTCTAGAAGAAAATGCCCCATAGATACATTGCCCTGGTCAGAATTGACACATTGCATATCTCCAGTAATAATGGATGTTTCGTCTTACTGTAAATAGCCAGATAGCTCTGAAATCATCTTTTGCACATTTCCATCTAGGATTGCAGTTGATGGGCCCTTTGGGACAGCCAGTGAAGATGTGTTCAGCTATGAGGTGGTGATGCTAGTGGGAGCTGGGATTGGGGTCACACCCTTTGCGTCCATTCTCAAGTCAGTCTGGTATAAATATTGCAATAATGCCACCAATCTGAGACTAAAGAAGGTGAGTTCCTTTATTTTTTAGAGGGACTAGAATGGTCCTTACTTCCTTCCAAGTAAAATCTGAAAGTTCCTTAAGGGCTAAGGTTGGCAGAGACTATGGGGAGTGAAGAAAAGCTTTGGGTGGTTCCAGAGTTCTCTTCAAAGGATTATTTGTTATATGTGCTTTTATATAAACAGGCCTATTAATAAAAGTTATATACTCTATTTATGTTATGTATTTAGTGTTATGAAAATTCAGATGAAAAATATTGGAAAAGAAAGTATTCCTAATTCCAGCCCAAGAGATATTCTTTTATGCTTTTTGCATGGTGATGTTTTCAGTTTGGGTTTTTTGTGTTTTTAGTTTTAGGTATGGAAGCCAGAACCTTGTATGTGCTAGGCAAACAAACATTTTGCTATTCAGCTACATCCTCAGTCCCTGGATATGTTCTAATTTTCCCTCTTAAGCTTCCACATTTTTAGAAATCTCTGAGTAGCAAATATGTACAACTTTATATCCCTTTTTGCATTTTAATTTTTTTAATTTGTTGCATTGTTGTGGAAGGAACCCAGAGAACATATGCAACACAAGTGCTCTATCACTGGGCTACATTCCCAGCCTTGATCCTTTTTTTTTAAAAAAAGATAGAAAACATTTTCAGTGTCATCATAGGCATAATAATGATCATCTGAAATGATTCCTTCATATTCTATTGCTACAATAGAATAATTTTTCTTTATATATTGCCATTTATTCAATTTTCAGGTCTTCAATATATTTTTGTAAGGAAAGGGCAGAAACAACATCTTATGGAAGTCTCCTTAAGATTAATTCTCAGGAGACTATTACATGGAATTACCTTATTAAGGATATCTTCCATAAACCTTCAGTCATTCTAGTAATTGTTAAACTAAATTCTAATATGGACATTAAAACTTGAATTTTAAAGTTTTTTCTCATGATTTTTCTTTAGTTAGCAACGTTGAAGATGAGACATGAAGGATTTTTTTACATTTTACATTGTTTTATTTGCATTAATAAGTACAATTTAAATAAATATGAATAGCTGATTAAATGTAAAGTTTTAAAAGGTAATTATGACAAAGTTTTTAAAAGTGTTTATTTTTATTAAGTAGTTGTACAAAGGGGTCTCAATTCCAGGAGTCAGATTATGAGTATACTGCATCTTGATCAATGTTACCCCTTCCATCATTCTCCCCTACATTTCCCCCATCTCATCCCTACCCTTAAGTTACATGATTCAGTTTTTCCATAGTGTACATTGAATATAATGACCACATTTGCTTACCTTTCCGCCCTCATGTACTCCCCCTCATTGCTTTCCCTCTCCCAGATTTAATGTTTTAAATTCTCTCCTTTAGCTTCTTTTCTGTGTGGGAGAAATATGGATAAAAGTATTTTTTCCCTGAGAACTCATCAATGTCTAGGATTAGCAGGCAGCAAAGAAATCCTTCAGTAGTCACTGTTAGTCTGGATTCCTTTGGCCAATCTGGGATGTGGCGTAAAACAGCTAGGGATTCCAAGGGAGAAAGAGAAGGCCAAGAAAGAAAGCTGGTGGGCCAGTAGATTTTTTAAGATATATATAATAATATACTACGTATATATACATATATATATATTATTTGAAATGTCAAGAGCTTTCTTAAAACCCGTGTTTCTGGGCATTCTGAGCATTGGAAGGGTGAAGTGTGTAAGAGAGGAAATCAATTTTCTAGTGCTGATTATGCTGATCAAGCCTATCCCAATCTGCTTTGTGGTCCATTTCTTTTTCAGATCTATTTCTACTGGTTGTGTCGGGACACACATGCTTTTGAATGGTTTGCAGATCTGCTCCAACTTTTGGAAACCCAGATGCAAGAAAGGAACAATGCTGACTTTCTCAGCTACAACATTTATCTGACAGGCTGGGATGAATCTCAGGTGAGGGCCAGGGTTCAGGTCTTAGGTCCTTCCCAAGGGCTTAGAGATTGCTGACTTTCCATTGGATGTTGATATGTCCTATATACTGACTTTATTTCAAGAACAGTTAATAGAGTCTCGTGATCCAGATCATTCATTCTAACTCAGTATCACTACATAATGTTTGGGCTCTTGGGACTAGATTCAAAGCCAAGGGGCCTATGAGGAGGGAATAAAGGCATTAGAGGAATTGTCCCACCCGGGCTTCTCAAACAAGATGGACAAGAGCATTATGGGTAACAGGGAAAATATTATCTATCCTCTATCTATTCACATCCACATACATGTGTATATGTGTTCCTTTAAGTATCTATGCACATTTCATGAGCTACTTAATACAGTTGCATTTATTAAGCATGTACAGTCACCTTCCATATCTATGGCTCTTCATATATTTATTCAAATGACCATGGATCAAACATATTTGGAAAAAAACTGCATCCACATTGAGTATGTTTACTGTTTTTCTTGTCATTGTTTCCTAAGTCATATAGCATTACAACTAAGAAAATAGTATGTATATTGCATTAGGTCTTATAAGTGATCTCGACATGAATTAAAGTATACATGAGGCTATACACAGGTTCTGTAGGGAACTAAATCATCTATGGATTTTGATATGTGAGAGGGAAGTATCCTAGAAACTAATTCCTCACAGAGACCACAAGATTTCTGAAAAAATGTGCTCAGTATTGTTTAGTGTTTAATAGATTGTTTAGTTTTATGTTGCCAACAACCTTATGAGGTAACTATTATTATTAGACACATTTCAATAATGATGAAACCAAGGTCTAGAATAAATTAGGTCATTTGCCTAAGAACACCTGGCCAACAAGTAAATGGCAGTGTCCAAATGTTCAGAGTCTACACTGAGTGTTCCCCAGTAGTTGTGATTATTACTACTGAGCAGATCCATATTTACTACTGAGGAGATCCATGTGTGTATGTGTAATAAAGGTACAGTACACACACTGATATATGGGTGTGTAGTATTAATGTGTATGCATGAGTATGTTGTGTATGTGTCTATTAAATAAATGTGTTCTTTCAAAAATGTTAGGAGACCACTACAATAAAATGGGACTGTCCTAAACTGAAGATTTTGCCTCCCTCCCTGGCCTCCACCAGGGACATTTGGCAATATAAATGCATTATAGTTGACAAATTTGAGAAATACTGTGCTTTAAGGCTAAAGGCCTTAACCCCATCAGGAAGAAAGTGCCTCCAAGGCCTAATCACCCCTTAAAGGCCCCACCTATATACTATCATGCTTGCAACATCTGCACTTTTGGGGGAGGATCCATTCAAGTTACAGCAGTAGGCTGTACCTAGATGTTGCTTATTCTCAGCCTGGCTATCTCTCACTTGCAACCTGTCATTGTGGCGATTAATTTCTCATTTGGATTTTGCAATTGTGGTCTATCGGAGAGTCTTTTTTTACCATCCTGGAGCTTGAACTCAGGGCCTGGGCACTATCCCTGAGCTTCTTTTGCTCAAGACTAGCATTCTACTACTTGGGCCACAGTGCCACTTCTGGCTTTTTTTTGCTTATGTGGTACTGAGGAATCGAACCCAGGGCTTCATGCATGCTAGGCAAGAACTCTGCCACATTCCCAGCCTATCATAGAGTCTACAGGTTACAGAGGGCCCTTTTATTTGGGGGGGCGGTCTGGTCGTGGGGCCTGAACTCTGGGCCTGGGCACTGTCCCTCAGATCTTCAGCTCAAGGCTAGTGCTCTACCACTTGAGCCACAACACCATTTCTGACTTTTTACTTTTTGCTTATGTGGTGCTGAGAAATCGAACCTCAGGCATGCAAGGCAAGCGCTCTACCACTGAGCCACCTTCCCAGCCCACAGAGGACCCTTATAACAGGTGTCATAGGTCCAGGACATTTTGACTATGAGAACTGCTGCTCTAAAACTTAATAGCTGCTATGTCTATAATTTGAAAACAAAATATTAAAAACACTGTACAAAATGAAATCCAAGCCAGGCACCAGTGGCTCATGTCTGTAATCCTAGCTACTCTGGAGACTGAGATCTGAGGATCGCGGTTCAAAGCCAGACCGGGCAGGAAAGTCTATGAAACTCTTATCTCCAATAAACCACCATAAAACCAGAAGTGGTGCTGTAGCTCAAGTGGTAGAGCTGAGGGACAGCGCTCAGGCCCAGAGTTCAAGCCCCACAACCAACAACAACAACAAAAAAAGAAATCCAAGAAAAAAGCTATAACTCATAAACTGCCTTATGGTATTATTTCAAAAAAATGCTAGTAAAATGGGAAAATAATGAGAAAATAATAACTTTGCTTTATAAAACTAGTTCCTGTAAGAATTATTAAGCCAGAGTGACCATTTTTCTTAACATCAATTATCCCCATCATCTATCCTTGGTTTAATGAATTTAGAATGTAATTTATTTTTAAAATACATTTAATTAACTGATTTTATGAAAAGTACCAACTGTTCAAAGTGAGAGCTTCTAGAATGGCAGCAGAAAAACAGTATGTATGTACATACACGTACACACACATGCACAGGCACACATATGCACACACTCACACAGCTTTAGGTTTGATTTAATATCTTACTGGTTACTAGTTTGTTGAGTGCATTTTGTTTATTGTTATTGCAATTCTTAGTGATTTTCCCCAAGAATGAAAATTAGTCAGCTGAGGAGAAAAATTCAAGCATAGAAAGAGAAACAAGAGATGTGTCTACACTGTAATGCCTGACTTACATGCCATGGCCTTAAACCTTCCCGTATCCTGCCATTCCATCTTTTTCTCTGTTCTCATTATGATGTTTAAGTCTTTTCCATAGCAGTCACCACACCACATTCTACAAAGTTTTGTTTAAATTTATACTCACGTTCTCTTCTTCTCTTCTAAAATGGAAATGATTTGAGACCCAGTTGGTTTGTCTTTGTTTACCTTCTAGTCTTCAGCATGGTACCTTACACACACACACACACACACACACACACACACACACACACACACACACACACGAGAGTAAAATCTTGGTTTATGAAATGGGTGACTGTATCTGCATATGTTTTAACATTATATCTCTTTTTTTCTGAATTCATGTCTTCTTGCTGCAGGCTAATCACTTCGCTGTACATCATGATGAGGAGAAAGATGTGATCACAGGCCTGAAACAGAAGACTTTGTATGGGCGGCCCAACTGGGATAATGAGTTCAAGACAATTGCTGGTCAACACCCTAAGTAAGAAATCCCCACCAGGAAGTTCTTGAGGCTTATTGTTTGCCTAAGCAGCAATTCTCAAACATGACTAGACTTTTACATTCTAGACCTTAAGATACATTTATTACTATGATGAGGTTGAATTCATGTCCAATAAAAAATACCAGATATTTATGACTTCAAGAAGCAATCTTTAAATCACAGGAAAACCATCTGGAGAGTTATTTAAAAATCAAAGTTTCCCAGCTCCCTCTCTCAGTCTTTCTCGGTCATTTGCCTCAAGTAGTGCCATAGTTGGGCTCTTTCCTTTTGTAACTTAAATTGTATTCCTACTTTTAAACATTCATCTGTGTTTAAAATACAGATTTTTGTTCTAGAGTGGGACACAGAGATCTGCATTTTTTTTTTGGCCAGTCCTTGGGCTTGAATTCAGGGCCTGGGCACTGTTCCTGAGTTTCTTTTGCTCAAGGCTAGCTTTCTAACATTTGAGCTATAACACCACTTCTGGCCTTTTCTGTTTATGTGGTCCTGAGGAATCCACGAACCCAGAGCTTCATGCATAGGAGGCAAGCACTCTACCACTAAGCCACATTTGCAGCCCCATGGGGGGGGGGGGATTTGCATTCTTAAAAAGCTAATGCCAAGGCTACTAATATGGGAGCATACATTGAAAAGGAAGGTTTGCAACTATAAGATTGAGAGGAATGGAAGGAAGCAAACCTAGCTGCTATCAGAGTTAGGGTTCCTAGGAAAGATCATATCCCTGATCTCAAGAGAGCAGGAAGGTTTTGGGGTATAGAGCCCTAAAGGAAAGTAGTCCACAGACTACAAAATTAACCACCATTTTCTTTGTGGTAGAAGTTTCTAAACATTTTGTTTGCATTTCATTTTCCAAGGAAGTTAAGTGCCTTTTGAATTATCTAGATGTCTCCACAGTCAGAACGGAAGCCCTGCTTCTACAGAGTAATCTGAACTCTTTGGCCATTTGTGGAAAAAACAAAGGAACAGAGGGAACTTGGCCCTGGAGCCTCTAAGCAATAAGTCCACCCCCTCCCACCTACTTTGTTAACTAGCACATCCCAAAGTCTGAAACTATTTTTTTTTCTTTCTTTCTCAAAGTACCAGAATAGGAGTTTTCCTCTGTGGACCTGAAGCATTGGCTGACACACTCAGTAAACAGAGCATCTCCAACTCTGAGTCTGGCTCTCGAGGAGTACATTTCATTTTCAACAAGGAAAACTTCTAACTTGTCTCTTCCACAAGGAAATAAATACAAGTTGTGCTGCCAAATTACTAAATAATGCTGGTTGTTAACACAAGTTCCTGCCCCTAAGGGAGAAAAAAAGGCAGGAAAGGAAACATAAATGTTGCATTGAAAGGGATGCCAAAGATTGTCCGCTAGTGATCAGTTACATGTATATGCTTTTTAGTTTTTAGAGCACTTGTACAAACATTATTTCATTTTAACTCTCTCCTATGCCAGAAGACCATATGGCGAGGAATCCTGGACTCATTTTTAGGATAATAAAAGGGGGTGTTCCAAACGTTCTGTGGCTTCCTTAAGATTATGAAGCCAAGACTAGATTTAGGTCACTTGACTCCAGGTTTGGTAATCTGTCCACAACACCAGGCTACCTTAAATTTCAGTTTTTAGAATCCTAACACCCCAAAAGAGGAGTTTATCATTTTCCATTTGATGTCATCTTTGTTCTTGTTATTGGCTTTTTGAAGATTTTTTTTTTCAGACAGGAGATAATACGTGCTGAAGGTGACCTTAATATCTACTAGTGACAATATTCACATATCACCATATTCTAGCTTACCCATATAGTGGGCCTAACTGAGTTAGAGAAAATATCTACCAAAGAATACTAGACTTATTGGAGTTACTGTAGTACTCAGCATTTACCATGGTGCTTGGTAGAGTGGCTACTGAAGGAGTTTGTTGAATGAATGAATTAATGAATGAATGAAGAATAACATGTAGAACTATACAATTCTAGAATAGAGTTAATTTAAAGCCTTAGTGAGAATTTCCTAAAGTAATAATGTCTGCTATGCATGGAGACCAAAGGCTGGTGATTTCATCAAACGTACAGAAAATGTTTAGAATATTAATCAATATGAAAGCCAGGAAGGTTCCTCACATTTTTACATGAGGGATGAAGAAATGAAGGATGAAAGCAGAGGAAGGACCTCCTCCCTTAACACTGGCTCTTCTAATCCTATTCTCTGAGCTATGAAAGAAGAGCACACTGTGTGCTGCTAGAAATGGTATCCTGCCAGCCCTTGAAAGTTTTGGATTTAAGAATCTTAACAAATATGTATCTGATGATCTACATCAGGCTGAGAGTCCATCTCTAGTTTAACTTAGATATCAACACAAGTGGTTTGTGTATGTATGGCTGATGGTTTGATTTTTATCATCATTGCCCTCATCCTCATCATTTCTCCTGAAACATATATCCTAGATGAACCTTCCCAGATAAGCATGTACATATTAAACTCACACCCAAAATAATGTTCTGGATATCTAGGAATTCAACAGAACATGACTAAATCACTACCACTTTATTTGCCCTATCCATTGGGGCCACAGGTACTTAGAAATATTCAGCCTTGGTAAGATCAGAAGACTTGTAAGGGGAAAGGGAAGAAAAGTGAGGGAAAGGAGAAGAATGAGAGAAAGCAAAGTAGAGAAGAGAAAGCAAGGGGGGAGGGGAGAGCAGTTCTCAAATTGGTCACTTCCAATCCCAGATTTCTCAATTTGTATGTACTGCTTCTAATCAAAGAAGGCAGGGAAATTTCATTTTATTTTGATCACAAATCGTGAAGGTGGCTTGGCATTTTCATGGTACTAGGATGAATTAAGAACGCAGTTGGCCCTTATGGTTTTTTGGTCTCCTACTATCCTTAAGCCAGGGATAGCTGGTTCTGACAAATAAGGCCTTATTATTTGGGTGCACATAGAAGTGCATCTCAGAAATGTGCAGGAAGGTTAATGCTTGGAGAAAGAGGTTTGGCCTCTTTATATTGCATGCCAGGTATTCATTCATTCATTCATTCAACATATATTGTGTTATAACTATGACCAGGTGCTGTGTATTTACTTTCAATCCTTTTTACCAAACTATGACCTTGAAACAGATTCAAGTTCAAAGAAATTTGAGCAGAGCTAGGCATGGTGGTTCCTTGCTATAAACCTAGCTCAGATCATGGTAGGCCCTGAGCAAAAGTTTAAGACCCTGTCTGAGGAACAACTAAAGCAAAAAGGTCAGGATAAGTAGCTTAAATAGTAGAACATTTGCCTTGAAAGATAAAAGCTCTGTGTTCAAACCCTAGTACCCTCAAAAAAAGAAAGTAAGTGGATAATAAACAAATAATGAGATTCAGCCCTTTCTAACTTAGGCACATGAGTAAAACCTGCTCCATCTGTTTTTCTGAGAATGTTTCTCCAGAGTTCTCTATGTTTGACACAAATTAGTTATCAAAATAGAGAGCTCTTCCCTGTGTTACTTTGGTTATAAGATTAAAAATGGCATTTTGAGAACTTCTTTCTTTAGTGTTCCCCCAAACCCCAAACCTCAAACCCCAGCCACCAGCTATCAGCTGGCACCTGTGAGCATGGCTATTTTAGCATTTAGTATTTTGCATTTGGTAACAGGTATTGAGAGAATGATTAAAGCAGTGTTTTTCATCTCAAGGCTACAAATATTTTTCTTAATTCTTCTGCTTTTGAAATACTGTGTGTATAAAATGTCAATACTTGTAGGCACTATGTATGAATCAATTTGGAAGGAAAGGTGATCTGAGTGATAATTCTTAGGAAATGCTATTAAAATTGTGCTTAACTACTAAAATCAGTAAATTCTTCTGTGTCTGTGTTATTGACCTTGGTATATAAGGGTGAAATCAGCCAAGAAATACTTTTCTCTGCCATGGTAGTGCTGAGATTCTTTGTGTCCTTGTAGTAACATGTCATGCCAAACACTGGATAACTATGGGTAAGGAAGGAAAAATGGGGGACTAAGATCTATGTCAATATCTTAATGTTCCTCAGAGTACTGATACAAGGGAGTGTCGCTCCACATACAGAAAACAATTTGAAGACATAGACTTCCCAGTATAATATCTTTTTTTCAATTCTACTAATCTTTCATCTTTTAACTGCATAGTTGAATGTTATCGAGTCAGATTGTGGACATATGTTCATAGTTCTGTGTGAGCCATTGTTCTAAATGAGTCAACCAGTTATAATCCTAACTATTTAGGAAATGCATGAAGCTGTGGCTATATGTTCCTGCAGTAGTCTGCAAATGTTTTCTTGGACAGAACTGGTATTACCCAAGAGAAATAACAGAAAGAAAAATATTAACAAATATGTTTCACTATGCCAAACAGTTACATATATTTCAGCTAATATTTCAGTAACACCACCAGATAGCCATTTAATCCCAATTTTGTTGAAAAGAAAACCCTGTCCAAGAGAAGATAAATGATAAGCAAAGGTCCCACAATTTGTTAACATTTAATCCCCCCTTTTTTTTTCTGCTAGCATCATCAATGTACAAGGTGAAAATCATGCAGTAAGAACAATTGGCTAACAGTGGAAGTACAAACCAAAGTTCCTGGTATCTTAGTTTAGAAACACTGAATAACCCAATTGGTGACAATTTTGCTTTTGTTTTTGGTGCTGGTCAAGGGATATGAACTCAGGGCCTGGGAGTTGTCTCTGAGCTTTTTGTGCTCTGCCACTTGACCCACAGCCCCACTCATTTCCTGCTTTTTTTGCGTGGTTAATTTGAGATCAGAGTCTCACAGACTTTCCAGCCAAACATGACTTTGAACCACGATCCTACTATCTAAACCTCCTGAGTAGCTATGATTTCAAGCGTGAGCCATTAGAGCCTGGCTAAGTTTATCTTTTAAATTAAGATAAACTAGCATCTATTGAATTATTGGATTAAGTTGAATTATTGAATTATTTGCTTGGAGGAAAGATGACCCTAGTGATTCAATTTAAATTTATTTTATATATATATATATATACATACATACATATATATATATATACTACTTATAAAGAATTTCAGGAAATTACCAGTTAGTTTGCTGTGTTTGTATGCAGTGTACATGTGTATATATGTGTGTATGCATATGTATTTGAAAATTGTAAGAGGAAAATTATGGGAGGACAGAATTTCTCAACTATAAAACGCTGTTCTGCAAAACATAAACTGCTGACAAAGTGCAAGAAGTCTAAGCACTGGAGATTTCTAAAACGTGGGGAAATGATCAACCAGCACCTGGAAGTCTTTTCAAAACTGTAGTCTCTTACGTTAATGGTGGTGATGAAATAGTCTAAGCAAGTGGATGTTCCAGGTAAAATGACTAGTAGTAGATTAGAAAATTTCAATGAATTTGGTTCAAAGCCAGCCCTGGCAGGAAAAGTCTCTGAGACTTATCTCCAATAACCACCAGAAAACCGGAAGTGGCGCTGTGGCTCAAGAAGTAGAGCGCTTGCTTTGAGATGAAGAGCACAGGGACAGCAGCTAGGCCCAGAGTTCAAGCCTCACAACCGACAAAATAAAAAATAAAAATGTAGAGTTGGCCATGTTCTCTACATATTTGCCCTCTAAATTTCATAACTCAGTAAATCATCTTTCTGCAGGCAAAACTCAGTATTATTTAATATACATATAATTATGAATCTTAGAAGAAAACTTCTATGCAACTGGGATTTTTGTTAACTTAAATTTCTGTTACTGAAGCAAGAAAACAAAGCGCTCTGGAATCTTTCTCCACGACCCTAAGTATGGATTCCATGTTGTAATGGCTGTTAAGCTATGGTACATGAAAACACCACCACTAGGTTAGCACTATATAACCTCAGATCTGGGCAAGCTGGCTAATTAATGCTTAGTAGAACTGTGTTAAGATTTGAATTCATCTGTAAAGCAGTCAAGTCAAAACTAAAGGCACCAAAGTGAAGTATTAATAACAAACCTAAGAAGGTAAACTGTGAATCTTCATTTCTAACTTTGATCTAATTTTCTATATTGGAGCTATTGTTTTTAAGTGGTATTGACAATGGTAAACTTCTTAATTTAAACATTATATTTTAAATTATGAAGTTTACATGAAAACCAACATTTCACAAATGCACTTAAGGCATCAGAGTTAATATACTCTAGACAGTAAATGGCTTCTTGAACTCACAACGCAGGTAGCAGTTAATTCGAAGAGGATTTTACTGCTACATAAGAAATTAATTTGAATTTGCAGCTATTTTATATAAAGCAAAAAACAAAAGACCTTGCAAGTTTGATATCTTTAATATTTCTCCTAGAAACAGGTGATGTTTGCATCCATGGTGAATTTTTATAATCTACTGCCTTATTCTAGTTCCACTGAAGAAACTAGTGTCGGTTGTTAGAAACTCAAAACTAAATTGTCACTCTGATAACTTGCTTTGCCTCCACTAAAGTAAGCTGAATAAGCTGGTAGGTAAGTAAGCTAGATAACCCATTCCAGTTATTACTGCAATTGCTTCTCATGCAGAATTTTGTTTTTAAAGAAAGACTACTTTCACAAACACCACAGTGTCTTATGCATGGTCGGCACCAGCATAATTACGAGATAGCAGAGGTAGTAGTAGCGAGGGTTGCTCTGGTCAGCCGGTGGATCTAAGATGTAGGAAGTACAAGTACAAGATGTGGACAGTACAAGTAGCCATAGTCCCTCCTGAATGGCCATTAGCAATTCTGACCAGTGCTGAAGAAACAAACCAAAGACCCACACCCACAGTGTATGTTATCCTTAACTTTTGTAGACCATGCTTTATGGGTGACCTTTTGGTTTCCCCAAAGGGCTGATACATTTCAACATTTTGAAAACATCAGTGTTAACCTTGAGTTGGCAGTTAACCAACCGTTGTTTGGTACCTTTCAATAAAACTATTGAAATGCAAAAAAAAAGAGGAAATTTCAATGAATTATGATTAGAAATTTTCAAGGAATTCCTCCAAATTTTATGAAGAAACTAATTCCAAAATTCAGTTCTATGGGTAAAAGAAGCACTAGGAAAGGTAGCACATGGGGTGAAGCCACTGGGAACTAACCACAGGAAGACTCTGCATGTGCTTTGGAAAAAGTCCAAAATACCAGTTTTGCTCTAAAGAACAGACAGCATGATTTATATAAAAATTTAAGTCCAAAGATCTTCATAATTCTTAAAATTACATTAAATTATGAATCAAGTTTACCACCACATTAGATCACTTGATTGCCAAACATTATTTTCATTTATACAATTCTCAATTAAGTAAAAGTCAATTCACTAACACATGCATGCCATGGAAAAATGTAAGCATCTGTCTACTGTGGTCAGATGAGGACAACATAAGGGAGAAGGAATGAATCACCTTGGTCTTTACCAAGAATCTTCTGAACAAATCTCAGCCTTGTGTAGGTTGATAAGGAGAAAACACGTTATCTAAACAAACATTTTCCCAGGGGCGGTGAATGTTTCTGTATTGGCTGAAAACACTGAGGAATGGACTGAGGTAATTAGAGGAGCAGCATAGCTATCTCATCACCCTATTGTGCAGTTGGGAGAACTGCAACAATCATGGCTAAAAAAAATCACACTTGTGACCAGTGTGCTTATGACTTTACTGCCCTCAAAGGCAACAGTAATTTTGACTACCATCTCCTCACAAAGGAAGCTGCAAGATAGCCTTTCAGAATATGAGATTTTGTATTTGTGCCATCTGTTTATGTAGAGATGATTGTGCAAAGTAAGCCCTAATATATAGTCTTGATCTCTGTTTTAATCAGTCACAATCAGGTTATCCTGCAACAACAAGCAACTCCAAAATCTCAATGGCTGAAAGCAACAAAATTTTATTTATTACTATATGACATGGTTATTGCATGTTGGCTTCTTTAGCATTTTCCTCCCCTAAGTACCCAGGCTAAGGTATGCTCCATCTCCTTGCTGTTATTGTATATCAAGAACTCTGCATGCTTTATCTAATAATTTTCAGAACAGTTAATATCTCAGTTTGTTGAAGGAGAAAATCCAAGGCACCGAGATCCTAGGCAATTTCTTCAATATCATGCATCTGGGATCTGAACTGTGTTCCCCATACCCTTAATACATCCTTTGAATAATGACAAAAAGTCTCAAAGAAAATAACTGGAGATGCCAAAACTCACTGGTATGAGAAGAGGTCAGAGTTTATCTAAAATTTTAATCTTGGAGCCAGGTGCCAGTGGCTCATGCCTATAATCCTAGCTACTCAAGAGGCTAAGATTTGTGGATTCTAATTCAAATCCAGCCCAGGCAAGAAAGCTCGTGAGACTTATCTTCCAATTCACAAACAAAAAACCATTAATGGAGCTGTGGCTCAAGGGTAGAGTGCTAGCCTTGAACAAAAAAGCTCATGGAACAGTACCCAGGCCCTAAATTCAAGCACCAGAACTGAAACAAAAAAAATCTAATCTTAGACGAAAACTCTAATTTTAAACCTAGAATTTTAATTAGTGACAGTATTTAGAAACAAAATTAGGTCATGACGTTAAATAAACAGTTAAAATTGAGTGTGAATAACATGCACTTATTTTAGTAAGTCCATTTACTTGAAAAGATACTTAAAGCATAGTCCTTAAATATACTGCAGCATGCTTTCCAGTTCTAGTCCTGTAGTGAATCCTGGAATGCCTTGGATTATCTGTATGGATTGGATACAAAAGCCCTAATGGGTGGGTGGACAGCTAAGATAGATGGTCAACCCCAGAAACTCCCAAAACAACAACACTAGCTAGGGATAAAGTATTCAACACATTCCATTTCATTTTCAAACGA